CTCTTGAAAGTCTACAAGCCCATTGCTTGATTCTCCTAAGGTGTAGAAACTCCCTTTTATTCACTGTCAAATACAAGTATTTCAGGTTGGTCTGTTTTGTTCTGGTTATGTTGCCCACCCCCGCCCCCGTAACTATGTGTTTGAATTTCTAATAATATGTATATGTAGTAATAATAGCTATAGAATGGTCGTGCATGCAGTGAAACCCGATTGTCCAAGCACAAGACAGAGTTCATCAGCAGACTCAGCAGACTCAACTTTGAGGATTGCAGGAGCGCTGTAGATCTTTAGGGGAAAATTCCTGGGGGGAAGGTCCTCTCCCACTAGAAAAAGCTAATTGAATGAGGTGGAGCATAGAGAAAACCAGGAGGGAGGAGAAATGGAATGCAATAGCTGGCAGTGAAGGATGGGAGAAACTAACAGTTCTAAAAATGTAGAGATAATGATAATGATAATGATATTGGCTGGCTAGGTCATTTTATACTTCACTTTGAGAAGTTATTTTTAAATGTTTCCAGGCTTGAAAATTAGAACTCTGCAGTATTTGAAGATTGTGATGTAATCAGGATTGGACACTGGTGCCTTTCCCTCTGACCATCCTCCACCCAAACAAATAAAAACCCATTGCAAAGGGTAGAAGCAAAGAGAAGATGCTCATGCAAATTCCAAAGCAAATGCATTTCATTATCCATTGGCCTGTGTAAGGTATACATCAAGTTAGCATGTTGAGGCACCTTTGCTAAGCTGGAATGGCATGGGCCTGCAGTTGGATGGGTGATGTCAGAATCCCGGAATCTCAATTTGAGAAGAGAAAATAAAACTCTGGTTCGTGGGAAAGATCAAGTGTCCAGACCATCTAGGCTTTATTGTATTACCCAGGTTCCCCGCAGGTCCAACTCATGATAATGCATTACCGGGCAGGCAGAGGTAAACTCTGCTGCCAAGCTTTAATACCATTGCAGGGTATTTTATAGGTACACAGGTACAGGGCAATTGATAACAGAATGCAGACATTACAATAAGATTCTGAGGTCATCACATACAGAACAGATAAAGGAATGTCAGTCAATCATACAGAGACAATGAGATTACAATATTTCTAATTGCAGTGTATTGACATTTTAGTTCAGTAGCTTGAACCCATCTCCAGGTCTGCTTAGACATGTAAATTCAAGCTACTGAGAAACTATTCATGATAAGAGCCTGAGCTTATCTAGACTCTAAACATTCTGAGTGGCCAGGGCATATGAACCCCTGGGCTAGGAAGATACTTCCCTGTAAAACTGAATTCCAACAGTGATTATTTAATCATTGTGCAGGTATACAATGTAAATTTGGACTAAATTGCCTGTGTACTGTAGCTTACAGCTAAAGGTGAGAGAAAGGAGCGGGGAATGCCATTTTGAACAGTGACAGCTTGGTTCTGAGAAGGAGTACAGGATTTGATCCCACAATGCAAAAAGCACACAGAAGTAATGCTTTTCAGACAGAATTTATCCAAATTTTCCCAACAGTGACCAGTTGTAAAAGCAGAGCTGGGGACTGGGTTCAATGGCCTTACAGGCCCCTTCCAATTCTTCTGCTCTCTTCTGTAGTAGAAGGGGCTGTGGCTGGGAGAATGACTTGTGGCATTCTTATAGTTGGGTCACACTGAATGCTGCAGCCCACGTTCTGCATAGTTACAAAAATCTTGAAGTGCTGTTCACAGCTAGGTGAGGTTGGGTACTTGCCGGTGACCCATATCCATCAATCAGTGGTGGTAGGGAGGAGGAGCAGGCGACACCAGGGCGTAATTACTCACAAGCTCTCTGCTTGCCAAGCAAGCCAGTGATGGGATAAGAGGCGGTAAGAAGTTGGATTCCCTGAGGGAAGGCACCTACTGATGCTGTTTCGTCCAAGAGCCCTCAAAATCCTGTAAAGAGTGCTTCCCTTACATTGCCGAAACCCCATATACAAGAGGAAGGGAAGCAGACAGGATAACAGAGGTTTTCAGAAGTAGAAAAACTGCTCGGTACAATTTGAGAATACTCGGTGCCCTCAAAATACCAGCTGATAGTTTCAAGGCAACAAAGAATGGGTGGGAGGAAATGCAATTTTTAAATCTCCCCAGGGACAGATGGACAAACTGCCTATAGGATTTTAATTAGAGATTTAAGTTTGCTTAGATTTGGCAACTCTGTATCTCAAAAGGAAAACAGCCAATCAGCCACAGGTCCAAAGGGCTGGAGTGGAGTGGCCTGAGCCCGGATCAGCAGCACTCCACTCTGGATGATTTTGGGGCAGGGACCCACTTGACTTTATAGAATCATAGTTATCTCTAATACAGACTGTCATTAGAACAGTTACCATTGAAAACAGGATCCCTCTGTGATTCGGGATGTATTGCATGGAGCCAAGGATTTACTTGAGACAGCAAAATGATTGGGCTGCAATGGCAATAAACAAGCTAGAGCACAACCAAGTGGAGAAAATAAAGGAATCGCCAAAGGCTAGAAAGCTCAAATTTCAGGCACATCCCTGGCATCTAGTAAGCTGCATCAGTCTGATGACAAAAAGGCCAGACCAGAATGGGCAACAAACTACTTGTGAGCAGGACTGAAGACAATCAGGGCATGAAACCTATTCCAAGAACAGACCAGAGAACATACTCTTTGCAGTTGGGTCCCTTCTTATCTTCTATACCTGATGTTTCGGATAAGTTGGAGACATGTTGTGGAGACTCATGTTGTTTCAGGTCAATTTATGAAGCTCTCACTTGATTTGCTAATTGGTTGCATTAAATTGAGGGAATTAGTATACACTATAGGAGCCTAGAATAACTGTTGACCCTCTGTCTATACTTTTCCATTATGAATATTACAAGCCATTCTTTGATCTGTTCTGCAACATCGGTTTAACAAAGTACTTTGCTCTGCCTTACAAGAGCAAGTTCAGCAAAATACCCTGTGTGTATGGGAACCAAACATATATTTTTTGTCCTTGTCTTGTCAGCAATGTCTGTCCAGCTTCCTCATATATGGGATGCATTTTCAGACTTCCCTTTTCCACCTTGCTAGTTTTGAGCATTACGGTCGGTTCATATATCAATCACTGTCCTAGGAGGTGTTTTATCTTTCCCTCTTCCTGAAAGATGAGAGTGGAGAGTTCTGCAGCCTTTACATCCTCATAGTCAGTGTCAGATGTTTAGTCAGTCCCTAAGCAGGACAATGATCTGGGTTCACACATCACATCGACAACCCGCAATTATGCCAGTCAAATGTTGTTTACGGAGAGAGGGTGCAGCACACATCCCTGCAAATCATGGGTCAAATGACCCACAAGTTGTTGGCGTGATGCGTAGACTGCTACCTAATGCCAAGCTTTTATTTTAGATGTTTCCCCATTCCCTATACCTTTAAATGAAAGTTGTTGCCATTTACTAATTTGTTTCAATTTGTGACCTAGAGAAGGACCTCTACCCAGATTATTTCTTTCTCCAATGCTTGTCTGTCTCCTACTTCTCTCCCTGTCTTCCTTTTTCCCTTTTGAAGGGAAATTGTCCTAGCCTCCACTCAGTCAGGGCTGGAAAGAACAACAAAACCCCTTCCATGGAAGTTTTTCCTCTAAACTTAATTGCCAAGGGCAGGGGTGGGGGGTTAAGTGCGTCAGCAATCACTCTGCTCCCAACCAGATCTGCATGCAGAAGGAAACTTTAGACTATTTTGAGAGCCATCAAATGGGAATTCCTTTTTTTTTGAGGATGAATAGGAAAAGGATATCTGCACTGATCTACCTACCTTGCTGGCAAGCCCTTGGCCAGGCTTATGATAAGAGGGAGGCCCAGAGAGCAGAGCACAGAGTCTACAGGGTTGCTTGCCCTTCAAATTGTAATGAAACAGCGCATTTTGGTGTTGTTGATGACTCCTGCCCCAAGTTGAGAGTGAACATTCATCTTTGATCCCTCTTTGTTGTGTGCCAATTTTATTAAGGGCTTGAAGGATAAGTCTAGGATCTGGGATGTTTACTCAACTCAGGGTGATCAAAATACAACCACTCCACTTGACTGGCTGCCAGAATTCATTGCAAGAAGGAAGAAAGAACTGCTTAATCTTTGAAGTGCCCCATTTGACCTCCATGATTTGTTGAGCCCCTCCTGTGAGGCAGTAGGGGCTCTGCTTTAAGGATTGCTATTGCAGAAGCTGGTGCTGAAAGCAAAATATTGCATGCTAGGATCTTTCAATGCACAGTATTATTTTCATAATAAGTACTTTGCATCTAAACTGAATACATCAGTTATGTGACCTTCTAGACTGTCAGCTTCATTTTTGCCCTTCTTGCAAGGAACCCAAGTCTTCCTTTCAGTTGTTTCTTCACAACAACCCTGTGAGGTAGGTGAAGCTGATAGTTGGTAATTGGCCCAAAATCATCCAGTGAGCTTCATGACTCATGGAAACTAGAACAGAGATCTCCCAAGTACCACTAACTGCTACACTGGGCTGGCTCTTCCCAGGGAAACATTAGGAAAAGTCTTATTTGGATGTCCCCTGCTCAGTGCTGAAAGAGGGAGCCTGGATCTATATGGATCAGCTGATGGCATTGGGAAGGATATTGGTTTGTGTGCATGTGTGCACTCTGAATATGAAAGGTGTGTGTGGATCTCTGGGAATGGTGTGTGAGAGAGTGGAGCACCTCTACCCACCTGGACTCTGGTCATGCCTGCTGCTGGGGGTGGATGAGGATCCTGGGAGGCCAGAAAAGGTGCTCCTTGATCCTCTGCTATGCATAATTCAGACTCTGAATATGCCTCATTTCATAGAGATCAATGAGCTGACCAAGTGTTAGAATGATCAAATTACTACTGTTCTGGTCAGTCAACAGTGTACATACAGCAGTATGTTTAACAGTTCTCAATACTTCTCAAAAATGCTTCAATTTATGCCTTTTTTCCTGTAGAAATTCTCAACTGGTCAGTTATAGAGTAGGGTGTGCTAACAGTTTGTGAAATGCTTTTCATTGCCCAGTATATGCAAAATGAAGAATTTTGGAGAGACGGGCCAGCTCTGGGGTGGAACCAGTGGCATCCTGAGCTAGAGAGGTAAGTGATTGCTACATGGTATTTATATTATATACATATCTTTGCCCACTTGTTCACATAATTATTTTCAAGGGGGCTTTTGAATGAGAAACAAGAAAAACAGTACAAAAATGATTTTTTTAAAAGTGTAAACATATTATAAAAGCTACAATGTTAAAGACCAATAGAACATTTAGCAAGTAAAAAACACAAGAACATTCCTTTGTTTAAATGGCCTGGGTAAAAATAAGCCAGGCAATTAAGACAAGGCCAGCCATGACAGAAATGTTTAAATTTGTGTTAATAAACTTCTGGACCAATGTACTGGAAATCCTAGAGGGATATAACAGTATATCCTTACCTACTTTCTTTCAACTACTAGTTTAAACATTTTTTTTTCTTAACGAAGTTTACTTTAGCCATCCCACCAATAGAAAAGTCCACATAATGTAATATGAATTGTCATGCTACTGGAAAGGAATTGGGTGAGGATATTCAGGTAGTAAAACAAGACAAACATATACTCCCCTATCATCGGTTAAGAAGAAGATTGCATTATTTGAGCTCTTTGTGTGCCTGAGAAAAGAATCAACAAACTCCTTTGTGAAACATTCACAGAAAAAAATCCTTGCAAGATCAACACAACAGAGGTGGGAAATGGACCATAATTTTGAAAAGTTCAAAGTGGTCTGAAAGATGCTTCACTGTCCACAGTTTGTGTACACATTTCTTCTGTGCAGATGTCATGTCTGGTTAAACACAACAGATTTTAAAAAAGCAAAAAATTAGCAAAACTTTTTTACTGCAGGCAGAAATTGCGTGTGTGTGTCAATCCTTCTGTCAAAGTAAGTTTAACTGTCTGAAAAAAACTGTTCTGAGCTACACCGACACTTGTATTCTTTGACACTAGCTGATTAAAAAAGGGAAAAAAGAAACAAAAGAAAAAAAATGAGATAGTGCAAAGAACTACCTCTATTTATCCAGTACACAGGTTCTCATGCAGCGTAGACCTGGATGATAGAATTGATCACACACACACACACACACACACACACACACACACACACGTCATTATATTCTCAGTGAAGAAGCTCTAATCTAGTTGTGAAGTCTCCCAGGAAAGGAAGGCGTCAGTCACTGATTCCTAGCTGGGAATGCTGGTTTAAAATGTAGGATGTCTGTGCATGGAAGGAAGGGGGCGGAGCCTAAGCGAGTATAGGGCAGAACTGTATAGAATGTTTGGCCTGGCAATGAAAGGTTGGGCACAAACTGTGTGCAGTATGGAAGGGGATAGCAATTACTAGTACCATACTGGGAAAGTGGGTAAATATGATGCACGAGAATGAGCACTTATGGGTACTCTAAGGAGAACCTCCCTCTTGGGTTGTATGGCACCCCAGTTTGAGACCTGTGGTTGACTCCCATTATTGATGGAAGTGAAGGCAGCTTACACAAAAGGCCACGTATACTTGTGTCTCTGCAGGGTATGTAACAGCGGCAATTACAACTTTCGAGGCTCTGGCTGGTTCCGAGGATATTTCCATGAGAGACGGCCCTACCGTGGCCTTCCTTACAGAGGACCTCAAGGCAGCTTCTTTAAAGGTTGTTTTTTTTTACAGTACAAGAACAGTGTATAAGGGCGGCATCAAATACAAAAGGACAAAAAAGGATGTATCGATAACAGTGTGGCTAAATATCCACACTGGCCTGCAGGTTGCACATGGAAGGTTGTTGCTTGTGAAATGAGGCTCTCCCTGCTGAACCTCCCCCATGTGTGCCCTCCAGATGTCTCTCAGAGGTGCCTGTTTCAGGGTCCAACCTGTTTGGGTTCTGTGTTTCAGGACTTCATGGGAAATGAATTACTTCCAACCTGAAAAGCTGACTTCTCACAGGAACTAGCCTCTCTAGTTACAGGAAAAATTGGCTAGGCAGAGTCGTCTGGCTCACAGAAGCCTTGCGTTACAAGGTCTGCCGATGAAGCCAGTGGTGGCTGCCAGAGGCTCTGCTTCTCACACCTACATCCTACTCCCAGGTGCCTAATTACTTAGTGGTAAGGCATGTGCACTCACCACATGCTCAGACACACTCTATTTTTTCTTAAAACATCCTGGGACAGGGATCTAGTGAGTTCTGATTCAGATTTACAGCTTGCCATTGATTTCATATTCAGATGGAAGTACAACATATTTGTATAAATAAACCTCCAAGATCCAGGCCTGTGGCCAAAACAAATAGCAGGACTCTAGGAGTGTCAGTATAAAGAGGCTTAGTTTGAAGGGTGCTTCCCCTCTATACTTGATTTTCAGACAAATGTCATGTGTCTCTAACCGAAACACCCATACATCTCTAGTTGTGGTGAAAAAACCAAAGCTGCCCCTTAGCTCATGAGTGGTGGTGGTAGTTTCTTTATTTCATTTTGAGTATGCTTTTCTATCTGCCAAAACAGGTAGTTTCCAGAAGACATCACCTTCCTTCTTGACGGTAAGGGATCAACCAGGGCTAGCTATTTCCTGCTGAGATGGCAGGATATTTCCTACTCCGCACATGGCAGAGATCAAGGGTTCTGATGTAGGGAGATGATTCTTGTGCCATTTTGCCTGAAGTCTGTATGGCTGAAGCAGCAGTGACCAGCATATGCTGCTTGTGGAATACCAAAGCAGAACATGTCATTTTCTCTCTTGCTGACATCTCACTGTAAGATTGAGATTCTGGATTTGCTCACTCTTCTGTACCTCCAAGGCAGGGGTGGGCAGCCTGTGGCCCTACAGATGTTGTTGGACTGCAGCTTTCTCTGCAGTGAGCACTTCTGGAAGCTGGTAGCATCCAACAACATCTGGAAAGTGACTACCCTGCTTTAACAGCTGTCTAATATGTAAAAATCAGCAAGAGAAGCGCCTTCTATCACTTTCTGACTCCCAAATCTTCCCTTGCTAAATGTATGTATGTTAGGCAGATGTTAAAGGCACAGGAGACCTGTTGGAACAAACAAGAACATTGTGAGCAACACTCCTAGAAAACTATGTTCTGACAATCACAAATTCAAGCAGCACTAATTTATTAAAAGAATCACTTTTGCAAAAGAGGGTTCACCCTACAGATAGGCACACACAATCAGCTTGAATTACCCCATTTCATCCCTGTATCTGGCTGCTTATTTCCCTCCCCTGAGACCCCATTGGATAGGGTCCTTTAGGGCTACAGCCTCTCCCATCCACCTGATCACGTGAAGGACCGCCCCTGTTTACATCTCCCACTACCAGATTTTCAAAGACCCTAGTCCCTGATTTATTTTCTACCTTATATGGTTTTAGTTCCTCTTTCCATTGCTCAACTGTATTTCACCATCCATTCCACACATGCCGTCACCCCCTCAAGTTTCCACTTAATGCTTTTGTCAGCACAATACCTTCCTCCCCAAGGTCGGGCTCCTTGTGCCTCCTGGATTTTTAACAATGCTCACTGTTACATTAATCATTTCTATGATTCACTTGGTTGGCTTCAAATTTATTGCAAAAGCAGCATTGTATTCTTCTTATTTATCTCAACATGTAACAGTAAATCTCTCTTTCTGTTCCTCTGCTGCAGCCAAGTAAGAAGGAAAATAATTCAAAAAAGGTGGAAGACCAACCAAGTGCATCCAAGCAGACCAAACAAGAGGAGGAGGAGCCTGCCCCTTTGGTGAATGAACCTGAACCACCGAAGGTACTTATGGGAGAAGGCTGAGCTGTCTGGCAGCGCGTGTTCTGCAGAGAAGACGATGAAGTGTCCTTCTGTGATGGGGTGCTAGGAGTACGAACCTCTCTGGCTTCTCACGTCATTCTGCAGCACCGTAAAACTCCTAAATCTACTTCTTTGCAACTTTATGGAGCCTGATAGCTAGTTTTAATGTTGAGGTTAGGACCAAACTCCTGGACTTTCTTAGCTGTGTGGAAGAGGTAATTACCGTTTGCCATGTTGCAGTACTGAAGACGTGAGAAGAAATATCAACAGTGTTGACTGGCTATCCTAATAAGAGTGCAGAGCAGCTTATAACAAAAAAGTATTTCAAATTCAGGAACAAGAAAAGCAATGATAAAAGTATAGAAGTGTAAAAGAAAGCAGCTTCAGAGAGTAAAAACCACTTAATGCCAAGAAATAGAGAAATGGTCGGGGGGGAAAAGAGGGGGTGCCTAGTGCCAAACTGGATGCAAGGTGAGTGGCCAGATAAATCTCCCTGGGCCACATGCCTTTCAGTGCTCTCAGCTAGCATGTGGAGCCATGCGCAATGGCCTGAGTCTGGCTTGGGTAAAAGCATGGCCAATTAAGTAACCAGTTACTGCATTGTGCAAGGACACAATGAAGGAAGAGGCTCTTATGTTTCCAATAATCAGACCAAAGAAATTTCAGCAAATTTGGTTGGTCATCTTAGTCCTGCAGGGGTAACAGAAAGTCAGAATATGGGTGAAATTCTCTTTTCTACCCAGTTATTGTTGTTTAATTTAATATTGCAGTAATAATTAAGCTCACCAAATTACCCAGTTTTTCTTTCTTGCTTGACATTTCTTCAGGTAAGTGAGGAAGCCAGTCGCACCACCACATCCCCTCAGAAATTGTCTTTGCCGACTGACTGCTCAGCTGTCTCAGAAAGCAAAGAGGACATGCTTCCAAGGAAAAAAGAAAAAGATGAGGTAATATGTATTTTTTTATTCATTCATTTAGGTTACTTCTATACTGCCCAGTACCTGAAGCAGTCTAGGTGGTGGAGAAAAGCTCATAAATACAATATAAAACAACAGTAAAAGCATAACACTGCATTAAAGTTTTAAAACCACATGTTAATGGCCAAACAACTAATACCAGGTCATACTGGTGGGCCTGCTAAGAAGCAGCTGGCATTCCCCCACACCTTGCACACGCTGTTTGGAGCTGGTAAAACAGTTAAATGACTGGTGGAATGACTGTTCCTACTGGTGGAATGGGATACGCATGGCACGCAGTGAACCTGTGGACCTTCATGGTTGCAGTGTACTTCCTCTGGCACCTTCTTCCTGCTTAGAACCTCTCAAATGGTCAAATGGAAAACATCTGAAACCAAGGAACATCAGCAATCTGAGTTGGCACTTTGAGCCAGTTTTAGAAAGATGTCTAAGGCCAATGTTTCTGCCCACCCAAACAATGTTGACGTGGGCAGCAGAAAGTGGGAGCAGAACTGCTCAGATCATTTGCTCAGAGTACCCGCATGACCAGTGGAAGGAAGCAGGTGGCTATGGGCCAGGTATGACTCCTCATCTTAGTTTATCTCACAGAGTTGTTGTGAGGACTAAATGAGGAGGGAAGAACCACCATAGATTCACCTGGCGCTCCTTAGAGGAAGGGCTATGGGAGTGGGGAAGTAGCTATATCCTGAACCCAAAAGAGATAGGCGAAGGATGGGATCTCTCATTCTTTTGTGCCACAAGGAAGGCTGCTGCATCTCTGCCTCAGGCCCTCCATCTGCAGTGTGGTTAATATAACGCTAATCCATATAGAAAAAATAAGCGGATGCTTTGAATGTAGAATGTTTTAAACACTCAAAAGTGCTGTACAAATTATAGCAATGTATGGAGGAAGCAATCCTCTGGGCAGCATCTGATGGGCCAAAGGATTGTTTGGCATCTCCACCCAAGTCAGAGAGGGCACTCCAGCCTTGCAAGGGTGAGTCCGAGAGGGACCCTTTCTCCCTTACAGCTGGTGCAGAAAGAACTGCAATGGCTGACCTTGGGAATGCAGCCTTCAAGAGGGGGGAAAGGTGGCCTTCTGGTGTGCTGGGAGGAGATTGTAGGGGTCAGGCTATTATAATTTCATCTCATTGCTCCCTAATAGCCAAAAGGCTTTTTGGGTGGCTCACAAAGTTTAAAAAAACAGAAAAACAAAAAAATTAATGATCAAACAATTTATTTAAAACATTTTTATGCCTCCCCCATCGCAACAAAGCCTCGGGGCGGCTCACAAAAACAATAGAACAATACCCCAAATAAAATGGGGACAATAGGCCCGTAGCAATTGCAGTCAAACTGGTTCAGAGGTCCAGCAGCAATATAAGATAAAAACAGTATAAAAGTCGAGAATAAAAGTTAACTATTAAAGGGCTGGACAAAAACGATTTTTACCTGAAAACCCTTTGGCCAAAACGAATACAGGGTAGGTACCAGACACACCTCTTCGGGGAGCTGGTTCCATGGTCAGGAAAAGTCCCTTCTCCTGGTAGCCACCACCTTTATTTCATTGGGAGAAAGGTCTCAGAAGATGACCTTAGGGCCCAGGTAGGCACATACTGGACAGGGCATTCCTTCGGATAACCTGGCCTTAAACCAGGGGTTTCAAACTCAACTTACCTGAGGGCAGTCTGGGTGAGGCTGGGCCGCATCAAGCGGTGGTGGTGGGCCGCTCATCCTGCGTCGCTCCCGGAGGCCGGCCCGGGCGCCGCCAGAGCTTTGAAGGCCGCAGGGCCCCAATTGGCCCATAGGCCGCGAGTTTGAGACCCCTGCCTTAAACCGTTTAGGCGGGAGGATGGGGACATGAAAATCTCCTCCAGCATTCTCTTGCCACTCTGCCTGTAATAATCACAAACCTCCCAGTTTGGAATCTTACGGTTCTTGAAGCTGTGTTTGACAGAACTTCACCCTAGAGTTATAAGAAATCAGGGACGGGGGGCAGAACCAATATTGTCTATGCCTTCTTCCCTTCGTTTTATTGAAATCCACCTATCTTCGCCTCTTACTTGTCCCCTCTTACAGTGTTGTGCATTCGCTACTCCAAGGAATGGATGAAGCCTCAGAGAAAAGCAAACTGTTCAGATTACTGAAGTAATTTGGCATGTATCTTGATAAAACCCCTGCATGCAATAATTTTAGGAACTGTAGCTGCAACTCAGCTGTCAGGAATTACTTGTCTCCCTCCTACCATTTCCTTGACAGCTGTAGTAAGCCAAACTTGGCTCACTGTCACAGCTGTCAAGGAGAAGAGCCTCATTCTTTCCCACAGTGTCTCCTGGGGTACAACCTGGAGGACTGAGAGGGAGCAAGATGGCAGGAGGGAGGAGACTTACAGTCTGATCTGTCAGGCACAGCGAGGTAACAAACCACTCACTGTGGTAACCATGCAGGGTTGCTAGTCATGATGTGTAAACCCAGCCACAATATGTGATGGTATCAAAACCTACCAAGTGATGGAGAAGCAAAAGTTTGCACTTCCTTATCTCTCTTGCATAAGAGGTCACCCATGAAGGTTGATCTGGTGCCAAAACCATGCCTGAAACTATAATGGAATGGATCTACACCAAAAGCAGTTGGGCTGATCTGCCACCACCTTCTTAAACATCGTTCCCCAAAAGTTGACATTAGTGCCTGAACAATAACTGTTGCAATCTCCTGGGTCCAAAGATAAATTTTTAAAGAGTGGCACACTTCAGCATGTTGTAACCTGATGAATTCAAAATGTCAGTGTTTTAATTTGAAGGAGAAGAGTGGGGTTTCTTGTCCTTAGTAATAAAGTGGCAAAGATTTCTTGGCATATAAAGATTCTCTTGTTCACATCCCCTCTAAGAAGCTCAGTTAAGCCAAATCCTGTTTTTCACTGGGAACACAGAATTTCTCATTACTGATGTTTGCTAACAAATATGTGCAGGTTCAGGTTAAAGAAAGTCAAGTCTCTGAAGACCATTCTAATCAGACCACCCTTGATACAACACCTGTCGAAAAGCAAACAATACCTGGGACCACAGAAGGTCTTCCTACCATTGAAAATGAAGAGCCTCTGCTGGTATGGACAACCTGTTCTTTTTGCTTTGCTAGGCAAGGACAGCAGTGAACTAAGCTAAGCCTGCCTCTTCTGAGATAAGGGCTTTTTCTTCTTAAAGGCTTAGTTCAAACCAAAGGACTGTTTATCTGAAGGTACAGCTGATCTTTGTTAAGAGTTCCGCTTTAGTTTATCAGTAGTTTTGGTGCTTGTAATTTATCTCTGTCCCTGCGGTCTTACATGCCTTGCCATGTTTTGCAATATTCCAAAGCAGGGAAGAGAAAGAGCTCATGATGCTTTGTGCATTTTTGCCTGAATGCTGTCTTTCCTTTTTTTTAAAGGATGTTCAAGCATTTGAAATTGTAGAGATAATTATGAGAATTAGCTGTTGAGAAATTATGCACAAACTTTGATAGGGGTTTGGAGAAATTCGGTCTGTACCACAGGTGTTGAATGTCTTTCGGCCTGAAGGCCAGATTAGATTTTGAAAAACCTCTTGGGGGACACATTGAAGGGTTGGGAGGAGCCAAAAGCAAAGGGGGCAGGGCCAAAAATGCCAGTACATTTTTGCTTAAAGCTTTTCCTGATGGTAATTTAGCCTTAGAAGAAGCATTTCAGCCTTCTAGTGCTTTTCTATTTACCCAGGCTTCTAAAAAATTGGATTCTTTTAGTTAGCTGAATAGATCTTGTGCATTACCCTTCATGCCAACTTAATGTTTGATTTTTTGTTTTGATTTTTAATATTGCACTGATAACTGCACAAATCAATGGAGGTTAAGGCACTAGTGGAAGGGGGCATCTGTGGAGCCTTGGAAGGTTGGATTGGGCCTCAAGGAGGCCAGATTTGGTCCCTGGACTGAATGTTCTGCACCTCAGTTTAGGTTAAAAACATTCCTCTGTTTTCTTTGTTGGATTGTGTTCAAAAAGAATGAACATGAAACCTGTGTATAGTTTTGTGACAAAAGCTTCCCTGCATTGGTTGTAATTGGAAGCAAGCTTCACTGAATCCCATGGGAATAAGAAAAAGGTAAAGACCCAAATCAAAAGAGGCTGTTGATATGTAGCAAATCCCCTTTGCATTATATATTATATTTGCATAGAAACTTGGTTGTGTTTGAGATTCATATCCAATTATTACTTCCCTATACAATGCTAGTATATAATTGACATACGTGTAGCAACCTTGAATTTTTCACAGAAAGGTAGTGACAGTGTAGTAGGAGAATTATGTGTCCATTCTGTGAGGATTCACAGAGCATAAAAACATTCAAAATGTATGTCTGCTAGTCGTATACAGCTGACATTTCCAGGGGAAAAGGGTTATGTCAGTATGACAGTATTATTTGTTAAATGCCTCAGCATAATAAAGAAAATTTTAAACATCAGAACTATATTCAGACTATAGAAGGGTGGGATGTTTGAAGTCCCATTTAAAATAGGAGTTAAAAGTGCAATACTGTGTGTGTCTACTCAGAAGTAACCCCTGTGAGCAACACCCTTAGAAAACTAAGTTCTGACAACCACAAATTCAAGCAGCACTATTTTTTTAAATAAGTTTTATTATTATTTTCTATAAGCTAAAAAAAACCCCTAAAAACATCAGTCATCAAGGACATCAGGCCTACTGGGTCAGCCCCCCATATATTTTTTTTATAGCAGTCCATAGACATATTCAAATCTACGTGTAGTCCCGTTTCTCTAGCCAATAATAAAAAGAGTTCCAAGTTTGATAGAAGTATGTATCCTCTTTCTCCTTCAGAGACAAAGTCAGCCTGTCCATTTCAGCACAGTCCAGGATCTTTTTTAAAATCAGCTGATCAGTAGGTGGTTCTTCAGTTCTCCAATGTTGGGCAAATACAATCCTTGCTGCAGTAATTACATGTAGAATCAAATATGTTGCTTGTTTGTCAACATCATCAGACACAATGCCTAATAAAAAGACTTCAGGTTTAAATATTAAAGATTTTTGTAACATTTCCTCAAGCCATTTATGTATTTTAGCCCAATATTTTTTTTGGCTTATCACAAGTCCACCACATATGATAAAAAGTACCAGGTTTATGTTTGCATTGCCAACATCCATTTGACATGTTTGGAAACATTTTTGCAAGTCTATTTGGCGATAGGTACCATCTATAAAACATAAAGATTTTCTTTATATGAGGTTGCTAAGGTTACCTTGATATTTCTCTCCCACAACTTTTGCCATTTCTGTAACTCAGTATTATATCCAAAATTTTGTGCCCATATTATCATAGTTGCCTTAACTTGTTCATCTTCCATTCCCATATCCAAAAGAAAATTATACAGTCTTTTAATCATTTTTATCTGATTTTAAGATCATTTGATCAAATGTTGTTAATTCCTTATAAAAACCCCATATTTTATAATCATTAACATATCTTGATTGTATTTGAACCTTATGCCACCAAGAGATATCAATACCCTGCTCTTGTAATTCTTGGTTCGGTTTCAATCCTCCATTATCCAAAATATCATCATATCTCACAATTATATCAAAACTCAGTGCATTTGGTTATACAAGAGCTTCCATAGGTGAAAGCCACCTTGGCAACTTAGTATACGGTTTTGACTTTAATTTTTCCCACACCGACATTAATGACTTTCTGATATAATGATTTAAGAAACAACCATGTGTCTTACACTTCTCATACCACATATACGTGTGCCAACCCATTTGTAGATCAAGCCCTTCAAGATAAAGGATTCTCTTATTTCTTAAGGTTATCCATTCTTTTAACCACATTAAGACAGAAGCTTGATAATACAACATCCATTCAGGAAGGCCAAAGCTTCCATTCCCTTTGGCCTCCTGGAGCATTTTTAATTTAATCCTTGGTTTCTTCTTTTGTCATACAAATCTCAAAATTTGGGTGTTTAGATCGTCAAAAAATTTTTTATCAATTTTTATGGGAATTGTTTGGAATAAAAATAAGTGCTTTGGTAATATATTCATTTTAACTATTGCTATTCTTTCCAACAATGATAATTGCAAATTAGCCCATTTTTCCAGATCACTCTTAATTTCCTTAAAAGTTTAACATAACTATCTTCTTTCAGTGTAGTACATTTAGCTGTAAGAAAAATTCCCAAAAATTTAACCTTTTTAACAATTTGAAGATCTACTTGTTCCGTCAAGGTCATTTTCTGCTCCAGTGTAAGATTTTTCAGTAGCAATTTCATGTTTTCTTTATTTATTTTCATCCCAGTAACTTCACCATAATTTTCTACCTTTTTAAAAAGTTTAGGCATTGTTACCAAAGGCTCCCCTAGAATAAAAACTAAATCGTCTGCAAATGCTTGTAATGTATAGATTTAGCAGCACTAATTTTTTAAAAGAATTGCTTTTTGCAAAAGAGGGTGCACCCTACAGGTAGGCATACACAATCAGCTTGAATTACCCCATTTCGTCCCTGTATCTGGACGCATATTTCTCTCCCCTGAGACCCCATCGGATAGGGTCCTTTCGGGTTACGGCTCTCCCATCCACCTGATCATGTGAAGGACCGCCCCTGTTTACATCTCCCACTACCAGATTTTCAAAGACCCTAGTCCCTGATTTATTTTCTACCTTATATGGTTTTAGTTCCTCTTTCCATTGCTCAACTGTATTTCACCATCCATTCCACACACGCCGTCACCCCCTCAAGTTTCCACTTAATGCTTTTGTCATCACAATACCTTCCTCCCCAAGGTCGGGCTCCTTGTGCCTCCTGGATTTTTAACAATGCTCGCTGTTAAATTAATCATTCCTATGATTCACTTGATTAGTTTCAAATTTATTGCAAAAGCAGCATTTTATTCTCCTTATTTATTTCACTCCTAACTTCCAGGACCCCTAACTCAGTTGGATACTTTGTGATGGATTTTTAAAAATCTTTCTAAGAGTGTGAGCTGTGAAAATATTGGAACAGGTGCGATAGGGCCACCCACTGTGACAATCTAAATTTATATATTCATTGTTTATTACAGTACTCTGTTTCAAAGTAACTCTGGCAGCAAACTCTTCTTCCTCTATTTTGAAAATTCTGCAGGTGCCAGAAAACAAACAGGATATGAATCTTTCCAGTCTGACTGATTCTTCATGGGCAACTGAACCAGTTGTTCCTCCCGAAACTGAAGAGACCATTCCTTCCTTGGAAAGGGTAGAAACTGAACTGGTATGAATTGCTTGCCAACTTTTTTTCTAGAATCTTAGAATATAGAGTGGGAGGTGGCCAGAAGGCCATCGAGTGCAGGACTCCATGTTGAACCGTCCCTCTCGGGTGGCTGTCCAGTTGCATCTTGAATGCCTCTAGTGTGGGAGAGCCCACAACCTCTGTGTCCTTCCCTCCCTTTCTCCCTCTCGTTCATACACCCCACATGCACAGCAGAAACCAACCCCATTCAAGCATTCTAATTCTGTCTGAAATGACCAGGTGAGCAAGTGGAGCTGGGTGGCAAGGCTGGGTGTGCTAGCTCTGGGTCATCTACTCATGTAGGTTCCTTACACAATGCAGAATTCTAGAACTCCATTTTCCAAGGTTCTGAGTCATTATGAATATTAAAACTAAGACAATTTTAAAAGCCCAGTGGGGACTTTACATATGCGATAAATAGAAATAAACATATTAATGACTACTGACATTAAGCAAATGCTAAAGCTGAATTTAAGTAAAATGAAGGCAATTAAAATGAAAAGGAAAAGTAACTGTATGGTACTCATGTTCATCTGTTTTTCTTTTAACCTTGGAATCTACTAAAAGAGGAACTGTGCCTTGTGGTTTGGAGATGGGGGTTTTTTTGTGGGATTACAATTACATTTTTTTTTTTTTTAAATGAAGAATGTTAAACCAGCCAAACTAGGAAAATAAAGCTGATTTCTCTTGATACATGAGTTCATCAGCTTATGAACACCTGGAACAAGAAAAAGGTCTAACATTTTGTTTGCTGTATCATTGGACCTGAATCCCTTTGCAGCGGTAGGTCCTGTGCCCACTTGACTTTTGCAACAACAGCAGATGTGTGACCGCAAGTGCAGTGGCACCACTTCTCTTCTCCCCACACCTGAGTTCATGCAGTTTTAGCAATTGTGGTGGCTTGGAGTTTTGTTACGAAGCCAAAATTACAGAGGGCAAAGATGATTTTTGTTTTTTAAAAACTATCAAATGGCCTACTGTTTTCTGGAAGCAATGGTTTTTGACCCACAAAAGTCATACAGCTTTCATCAGGGATGTGACAATTGCTTCTCCTTTCCAAGATCAAGTCAGAAGCAACTGCCAGAGTGAGTCAGGAGTGAAAGCTGAGGAACACACAGAACCGGAGAGACTGTTGTTTGGGCAAGGTCTCAGCTGAAGTAAGAAGGCTTTTTCAGGACTGCTGCAGAAGGGCCCAGGGCCAAAGTCTGGGTGGGCAGGACCAGTGCAGGGGCTAAGAAGATGCTCCCAGATGTAGGGCAGCTGAACACAGAACTGAAGGTTTTGAGCTCTGCGCCCAGCAACTCCTGATACTGGGGTAGTAGCACACTTCACTGGAACTCTCTGAATTTCCATTGGTGTTCCTACTGCTTCCAGTAACTTTGAATTTTTTGAGCATTATTTGGGGAGGATTCAAAGGAACCGTGCACATGCACAAGCTACTGCCTCTTCAAGCAACATGCGGTATAAGCACTGCCCCAGTCAAATCTCTCCCCTCCCCACAATTGCTGGACATCTGCCATTTCTTGAAGAAAAGTCCATTTCAGTATAGAGTTCATAACTGAATCATAAACTGGAAATTACACTAAAGTTGCCACCCTAAGCAAACTTCCTTGAAACTGTGGAAGACTTGAGATTTCTTGCAGAATAATGAAATATAGATAAATGCAGTGCCAACAGTGATCATTCAAAGATGGGAAATGTGAAGTACTTGTTTGCTCTTTACAAAGAATTGAAATGGTGATTGAAATGTTGCTGAGAGGAAGTTGCAACGTGCAAAGTATCAGCTTTCTCATGAGATACTGGCTTGTTTGCCCTGTATCAAGTAAGACTTCTACCTTTGTCTTTTCCAGAGATTGTATCTTAGCATATAAAAGACTCGTTGACATTCAAAGGAGGAAGACAGCCCTCTCTGGCTTGCCTGGCAGATCTCACCCTGCAGCACTGTAGGACATCTTATAAATAAAGAATTAATGAATCAACTCTAACAAATTTGGCTGATACCATTTCCTCGTACTGGCAAAAAATATTCCTTCCACAAAATTTAGCTCAGTTAAAATCAGAGAAATGCTGTCTTTCAGCAATCTAGCATATGGGACAAAGCTCCCCACATGCATTTCACTACTTTTATGTCCCCCCTCCCCCAGCACCAAAATTTTCTCCAGTGGCTGTTACTATCAGAGAAGTGTTGAAACTGCAGGTTCTACAGAAGATGCTGCATATAATCTCCCGTTGTTTTAAAGCCCAGAGGTATTCCAATTATCTGTTGCCTACTACAGCCTTACTGAAGCAATACACCTGAGTGTGTTTCTTCTCCAGCTTCCTCCTGTTTTTGTTTTCACATCTTCTCCTAAGTCTCTACAGGATTTTTTTCCAGTTTCCACACCTATTTCTGCCTCATTTTTCTCCTCCTCCTCTCTTACTTCAAGTAAGCTCTTCAGGAGGTTGCATTTCAGCTTAGATTCATTTTAATTTGAAGACAAAGTTTAGTTAGTAAAGGAGATGGGTGCATAGGATGAGAATGGTGAGACTCAAGTGCTTATATTTTTCTGTTCTGTATTGTAGAAGTGCACATTCTTATGGTGATTTTTACAAGTGTATTGCGTAAAATGGACCTGCTAATAACTGGGGAGAAATAGGATATGAAGATACATTTGTAAATATTACTTTAAAAAGTCTTCTAATAATAAGCTATTTGCTGTCTAGAGATCTTGGGTGCATGCAGAGATGCTTTTCACAAAGAAGACATACAGCCACCCTTTGTTCTCCTGTGGGGCAATTATGGCTTCTCTTTCCCCCCAACCTTTATAGTGCTCATTACAGATGTACTTATTAGTGACTCACATGCTGATTGAGCCATCTCTATTATACCTACCTGTCTTTTTTTAAGCACCACCAGCAAATTTTCAACATTGTTGTGTGAGAGGAGATGTTTTATTTAAGGAACTGGAAAAACTACAGTCTGGCTGAAATGAGGAGTCATTGCATCACAACCTTGAGCAAGAGTACTGCAAATATCTCCCTGCTAATTGGCACCCCACCTCCCAGTTTTTTTAAAAATCCTTCATGGACATAAACCCTTGGTATCAGATGGGATATAAATGTTTTAAATAAATAAAGTTCAAGATTCACTTACCTATTTTTTCCTGTCCTACATGGATTTGGTCATGCTCCTTTCCTGATTCTGTACATCCTGAGACATCAATACAATGTTTCACTTCGTAGCATCATAAGATTTTAACTAAGGAGTGTGTATAGTCAGGGTACCTTTGCTTTCACTTGCACACAGGTGAAAGCCATCTGAAGAAGCTTGAGGCCCCTGGGGAAGCTCAATGATGCTCCCAAATCCAGGGAGAGGGATGATGCAGGTTGAGAATTAACACGGGCAAATGCTTTTTGTTGTGTTTCAGGACCTGCTAGCCAAACAGATATTAGAGATAACCCCCTTCCTTCTGGTTGTCTTGGTGTCCAGCACAAGTTGCATCATTTACGTACTTCTCTGAAGAGCCTTAAAAACTCCTCTTGGGGGTAGTGCTGCCCTGAAATGTAGTCTGAAATCACCTGCATGAGGCAGTAACATAAGGGGATAAGATGAAGACCAGTTGGATTGTGTTTCAGGCAGCAAAATGTTTTGAGGGCTGTTTGCATGCTCTGTATAAGGAATAGTTGGTCCCCAGGGCATGGTCTAAAATATTAAAAGGTTTCTTTAAGGCATGGCTGCACAAATCTGCATTTTACATGCTGGTAACTTCAAGGTGTTCATTTCTGATGTTAAGTAATTGCACCTTAATTACAAGAGTTAAGAGATAAGAGATTACCTCTTGATATTAGGATGGTAAATTACTGTAAATGCAGTACCATTATTGGCTGCCCAAAAGCTCACGCTTCAAAATGTGCAAGGTGTTGAGCTCCCCAGATCTGTTCATCAGGCAAGATGTTATAAAAAGCAGGTGGGGATGTGGTGTGGAAAGGGGTGGGAATTCGACAGATGCTCAACTTGAGCATTTTCCCTGTTTTGGGGGTTATGAGAGAATACCTTTGTTCAAGTCCTCTGTATGAAGCTTGGTGGGCCTAAGCCAGTGCTCATTCTTTCCTTTAAAAAAAATATTTGCAGGACAAGCTGACAGATATGCAGGTCTATGAAAATCCTCCAAGCCTGATCACCCCGCTTCCATCTCCTGAAGAACCTACAAAAGAGCAAACACTGCCTGAGACACCTGAAGGCCTTCTTTATCCTACAAAACCAGAAGATTCCGGGATGGTATGACCCACTTTCTCTTTTTGATTTGATAGGCAACCATTTAGCTGCAGTAGGCTAGGATAAAATTGTGGACAGAAGCTTCAAGGAAAAAATGGTCATTGTTGGGAATTTATGCATAATCTGGCAAGGTATCAATGTGACTTGAAACCTGGCTTGTTTGAGCCTGACAAATCAGGTTCTGAAACCATGGTTTAAATTTGATTTGGTTTAACTAATTCAACTAACTGAAAGCAAGGTTTACATGGTTAGTCTCAACTCATCACCCATTGACAAACCACAGTTTTGGCCACAAAATCAGATGAGAGATCTTAATATTGTTTTTTGTTGACTTCATTTCCTTTTATTTACCAAGGAGTTAACTTTACTGTGGGATTGGAGCAAAACGTAATTGCACCAAACACAAAGAAAAACTGGTTTAGCCGATCCAGTTTTATAAAACAAGAACTACATTTTCTTGGTTAAGTTTGTGGTGGTTTCATTAGCTAAAATTTTGAGTGGACTGTTACACTTATTTGCAAGGCAGTTACAATGGTTTCCTTTTGGGTATTTCTTCATGTTCTCTCACTGCACATTGTTGATAAAGTATTCTTGGGTGCCTTTGCATGACAAGTTCAAGCACTTGTCTTCCCCTTATTATTGTTCTGGTTTTATATTGGAACGCTTCAAACCCAGAATTCTTGACCATCCTCTCATTCTTGCAGCTGGAAGCCAACTGTTCCAGCCATGCTAGCACACCTCTCAGCGTAGAAATACCATTCTTATCCAAGACCCCAGAAGATCATCAGTGTGAAGAAAAGAAAGAAATTGATCAGGTATCAAATATTTGTCATCTTCTTGATTTGGAAGTCAGCTGCTTTTATAAGGATCCCAAAATGAAATACTGGTTAGCATTTCAAGATAGCTCTAGAACTACATCACCAACTTTTCATTCATATTCCCAAACACATGCAAGAATCCTTTAGACTTTAACAGAAATGGATGTAAGATGTCTTCAGGTATCTTTGTGGCTCGTTTCCCTTTTTATCTATGTAGTTGGAGAAAGAAAACTGTGAAATACAGGGTAGTATCCAACACTGTTACTCCTCTGATGTCACTGACGTAGCAACAGTTTAAGTGACTTTTAGCACACAGCCAAAAGAATATGATTGGCACAACAGGTTTTCTAGAGAAACCCATCAGACCAACACAGGTTATTGGCACTGAGCTGTATGTTGTCTATGCTAGTGCTACATCAATGCCCTAAGCAGAGTAGCAACATTTGATACGGTCCCCAGACTGTATGTAAATTTATTACATCAATAGTTATACTTGCACATAGCTGTATAAGCTGAAATGTTGTCACAGATTTATTTTCACCATTGTTGCTATACACATGACTAGACTCTTCAATCTTGGACATGACCTAATTCTTGGTATGCGCAGAGCTCATTAAAAACGAGAAATGAAAATCATATTCCTGCTACAATAGTCTTAGTCGTAATGAACAATTAGAGGGACATCTTTAGGTACATAATTCATTTTTGGAATACTGTTTTACTTGATCATACAGTGGTGCTTCATACTTAGAACTTAATTCATTTCAGGAGGCTGTGTGAAATCTGAATCAGTTTCCCCCATTAGAAATAATGGGAAATGAATTAATCTGTTCTCGCACCCTAAACAATATCCATTTTGGTAAACTTAAACAGCAAATATGGTCTCCTGAAACAAGTTTGAGGTTATATATGAGGTATGATCAAAAAATACAGCAATGTTTAAATTTTAAAAAATTATTACAGTAAAAGACATATTGCCACTAATCCCCCTCAAAATACTCTCCCTCACTTCAAACACACGTACTCCATTGTTCTTGCCACTTCCTGAAGCAGTTCTGGAAGTTCTTTTTCATCAGTGTCTTTAGTTGTGCTCTTGTGGCTGCCTCAATGTCCTGAAAAAAATGAGTCCATTCAAAATGAATTGATTCAGGCCATCGAGGCAACCACGATAGCGCAAATGTCTTTTACTGTTTTGTTCTGTTCTGTTTTTTGACTTTGGCTCACAACCAATGACATTTTTGTAGCGACCACCTTTTTTTTTTTTTTCACTTCACTCAAGGTTTGTACTTAGAAGCATCCTTTGAACTGCGGAGTGATTTTATCTCAACTCTAATGTTTGAACACTGGATTGTTTGAAGTTAGAGTCATTTGAACTACGAGGCATCTCTGCATTTTCTTCCCCGTATCTACTCATATATTTCCAGTTCCAAATCCATCTCTTTCATCATGAAAGGACCCTGCTGTTTGGACAAATGGCATTTGTGCAGGATGGTGGTCTTGCAGAAGGCTTCAGCAGCCAGCTCCTGGATGATCCCACCATTTTTTCCGGAGACAGGAGCACCTGGGAGAAGATTGGTTAGCATTCTTTATGTCATTTGCCCAGTAAAACCTGCAAGTTGGCTCCTAAAGGATGCATTTCAACCATAATCCTCACTCTGTCCCAAAGAGTTGTCTAAACTGCAGGGAAATGCTGGAATCACTGTAACTCAGGATGTAAATTTGGAAGAGGAAGCAGAGATCATTAAAATGTGGTAGAAGTGCTGCTCCAAGCCTCCCACCAATGTGACAGTTCCAGATCAAATGTCTAACTCCTATTTTGCTTGTAACTAATGCAGACCCAAAGCTCCGACTGTTGTGAGGGTGTAGACCATCATCAGGCCTGTGTTGCTCCAACTATCAACACCTCCAGCCTTTCAAGTACCTTCAGTGAAATCCACTGTGTACCTGTGCTGGTGAGACGAAGTAAAATTGAACTGGTAAGAATGAGGAAGCCTTTTGTGTCTCTGAACCTAGAGAGGATAGTTGGGCCTGCTTCTTGGATCCTGGATCCATTTGTGTCCATGGGAATCTTAATCTGGTGTGACAGGACAGAGCACCCACACCAATAAAAAGGAAGAGCGAAAAAGCACGTATCTCCAGTATTTTGGCAATTCATAAAGCCTTCAAAACGCTGTACGTGAGAAAGAGGAGCGCTGAAGCACTGCTCTGTGCTATGGGAATTGGTAGTGACTCAGTGGTACAGTGCATACTTCGAATGAAGATGGTCTCACGTCCAGCCCCTGACATCTCTGGGTAGAGCAGGAAAAAGGCCATGACAGGAACCCTGGAGAGCCACTGCCAGTCAGTGCAGACAGTACTGGGCTAGACAGAACGATGGTCTGGTTCAGTATAAGGTAGCTTCCTTATGTTTCTCTTTTCCTAGTCAGACACCATCATCTCTGTTGCTATGTAAGCCCTGTCAGAGACTGTTTTTGCTGCCCACCTCCTTTTTTAAAATAAAAAGATGCTCATTAGCAGCTGGGGGACTTCAAAACAACGTGATGGCCTCCAGCTGCTCCCTTTTACTTTACTTTGAATGCCTGTGGACCACGCATAAGATGGCAGGTAGCAGCAAGCTACCACTTTTATCGGCAGCCTGCTGGCTTTGTAGTGGTATCCAGAACAGTTTCTCAAGCTGCTACATGTGCCCAGGGACCCCAGAAGGTCGTCTACCTTGGTGTAGAATAATCTGAAAAGCAGACATTCTTGCAAATTTATTTATTGATTATTTAACTTCTACACCATCCAGTAGCCAAAGCTCTCTGGGCAGATTACAGCAATCCAGTAAAATGCAATCTAAAATATACAATTTTAAAATGGTTCAATTTTGAATGATTTTGTTTTCTTCACCGACACAGCAGCTGTGGAAAACACTTCACACTGACAATGTAAATCTTTCAAACTTAATTTTTATATAGCTTCATGACCTTTGTGATTCAGTTCACAATGTTTTGTTACTTTAATGGTTACTGTGCTTCTGTTACTTCTATTTTCTGAGAAATTATACTGAATGCAAAATCAGTATGTACTTGTTTGACTATAAATGTAGCTTTTACTTACATCCTCCAGTTCTTAGTCATGCTGGATTTGTCTGTCTGTTGCAGATTGGTGTTTTGCTTTCTGGCCTTTGCAATTATGCTTTACAAACAGCCCACCTGGTTAAAAAAAACAAAACCCCCTTGTCTTCCTTCCCTGCAATCATCACATCACTGTTATGCTCATTTACTGATCATTTATGCTGGTCATGTAGCTGAGCTCGAGGTCCACCCTGTATCCTGTTTGCTCTTTTGAGGTCCATTGCATTCAATGGGAATTACTTCTGAGTAAACATGAATAGGAGTGTGCTCTAAGCTGCTGTGGCAGTCATCTGCCCTCACCTGTTGTTGTTTAGTGCTCAGTAAGCAGGGATTCTTGGGGCCAGCCCTACCTTTAGACAGAATGAAGCAGCCACCTGAAGTGCCAGGTGCTGGGAGCTGTGCCATGGGGCCTGCTCTGTGTTCACTAAACCAGCTTTCTTCCCACAGATGCACTGAAGGATGTTGTCCTCTCACCTGTACTAAAAGAGTCACTTGCCAGTCTGACTGGATGCTATGCATGGAACACGGGAGGAGGGAGCAGGTGCTACCTCTTACTGAGATTTGTTTTGCTTCATTTCCCAGCAATGCTTCTGGAGCAGCTTACAGATTCTCCATTTAAAAAAGACTGTAGAAATTTGGTTTTAGAAGAGAGAAATCAAGCAGCACTTCTCAGGGTGCCAGGTTCTCCACCAGAGTGCATCCTGAATACATGTAATAATATATAGCCTTGGACATTAAAATGTTGATCTCCCAATTGGTCTGGGGTACAGCTTAAGCAGGAAAAATGTCCCCTGTATACATTTTGGTGGAAATGGTTAATTATAGGATGGTTTCCCATTCCACAGAGGTGGTCACTGTATGTTTCTCTCACAAAAGCAAGTTGCAAGGCTACACATAGTCAACTTTCACAAGTCCATGGCACAGACATACATCTCAGGCCAAAGTATGATGAGTCTGCAAACACCTATTTCTTCTCCTTTGCAACCATCTTATTTGGGCCCCAGGGAATGACAGACATGTCCCCTTGGCCCAAAGCTTGTTCAGAATCTTTCGCAGTAGCCTCCTTCATACTTTCCTTGTGATATTTCCTTCAGCAGCAGCTGTTCGTACTTAGTTTTATTTCATTCCAGATATGCAGACATCTCCCTGAAGAGTTTCAAGTGTGGCAAAAATTCAGGCGATCCATTGTGAGGTTACAGAGCATTGTTGAGTGTGTGACAGAAGTGGTACCACCAGGAAGAGGCAGCTCGCTTGGCTGGGGGGCTTAAAAGTAGAACACCATTTCCTTAGAAGGGAGAACGTTGGTCATGCTTACGTGTGGAGATGTGCAGTGGCGGGAAACTGTCTCACTTGAGCCTGGCAAACATTTACAGTGCTTCTGATCAGAAATGGATGTGCCGGTTTTCTAAAAAATCATATTCTGGAAATATGTGCAAGATAGTCTTGCATGTTGATAAGCAAGGTCATATATTTGTAGCAGCATTAGTCTTTTGTGGAAACAGGGAGGGTCTGGATCTTTAAATGTGGAGAAATAAAGTCACACTGTTTTTAACATTTTATTGTATTCTCAAGTCCACTACGTAACCTGGAGAGCAGCACATTCCCTTGGCAAATATCCTTTCAATTGCATCTCTCATTACTTTGTCACCATATTCACAAAGGACCTGTCATTTTAAATTTTGTCTATTTCAAGATCCACACTACAGTTTTCTGATTTGTGCACATCAGATACACACATTTTAAATTATTTTTAGTTACTACTTTTAGCTCGTGTGAAATGTGCAAAGAGGGTTCTGTAGTTTTAGTCTCTTCCCTCCCCTTTGTTCTTCCCAAGCAGTATTATGTGTACAATTTCTGACTTCTTTCATGATTGTATTTGCTCTGACAAATGCTGATTATTGTATTCACTTGTTTCTGATTATACTGCTCATGCTTCTTTTCTTTTTTGATGCTCCTGGTGGTGAGTCTGTCAGGTCAAGTCAGATCCTCCCTGTGAACTGCACAGGTTTAAGAGGTGTGCAGATTTCCACATTTTTCACACATTCCCTGAGGGTTTTAAACCTGCACAAATTGCAGCCAGTTTTGGAAGCACAAATCCACATGCTTGCTCAATGCATGTCAGGTCAAGCTGGGGGGAAATGGGATAGAAGCAGGAGGACTAGTCCCTTGTACATTCCTGCTTAACTGTTTCATTGCCCCCCTCATACCCCATCTGGTGTTGTTCATCTCTCCAGCCTTATTCCTGGGAATCTGCATCTTTTTGTGAGCAAAATCTGAGTGGATGGGCACCAGAAGATTATCAGGAACCACCCTGGGGTATTAAGCAGTCTGTCAGGTGTGACAAAGTCTTTGACTGTGACAGAGACTCGGTAAGTTGATTCTTGGTGTCTTACAAATGTTTTTTTTTATTAAGAGAAGAAACCTAGAGGATGAAAGGAGGATTGGGTTGGTTCAGGCTGAATAAAGAGGACAGAATGGAAGGGAAAGGGAAATGAGTGCTGGTGACCAGCAGCTGTTGCACTAAAAGAAGAGTATTGTTGAAAGGATAATGGAGGAAAGAGGCTCTTTCATCACTCCTTTGGTCACAAAGTCAGGATGGTTAAAAATGAAATATAATGGTGGCCTTCTGCTATGTTTTCTGCATTTGTTATGATTTTTAAAAGTGGTTGGACAGATTCTGCGGTAATCTTGAATGTTTCAGATAACAAATACTAAACATCCGCTTCTGCCATACATACATACATAAAAAAATGAGGGAGGGAGGAAGTGTAGCTCAGAGGTAAACCACACGCTTTGCATGCAGAAGGCTCCAGGCTGATTGCCAGCCCCTGGAGAAGTTCCTGCCTGGAGCACTGGAGAGCCACTGCTGGGTGACTTTGACAGTATGGGGCTAGGGAGAGTGATAGCCTGACTCAATGTATGTCACTTCCAGTGTTTCTGTAGCCTGCAGCTGAGGCGAGGAGGAGTGCCAGAGGAGCATTAGCCAGGCCTTGAGTCACAGTTCTTGTCCAGGAAATTGAGCTTTTCCCATCAGTGTGGGCTTCCTCTTCTCACTTGACTGCCCCAGAGAGAAACGGAAAGGGGAGGTTTCTGTGGATTGCTCTTGAGCTTTCTATGGTCACTCCACCCTCTTGCCAGGTCTCTTCTCAGTCACTGCCTTGGGCTCTCATCTCTTGTACTCCAAAATGTGAGACTGGAAAGCTGATGGAACACCATTCTTGCTCACTGAAAAGGCATCACAGCACTGATTCAAAGCATTCGAGTGCAAGTTCGGCTCCAAGGGAGTTGCGTATTCAGCGTGTGAGATGCCCTCACAGGCAGGCATCTAGTTCAAGATCTCCCCATAGGCAGGAGCCACGTTCAAGATCTTCTCACAGGCGTTTTTCAAGATCCCCTAACAGACGACATCATCGCTCACTGTTCTCATTCAAGCGAGAGCATTCCCCTCAGAGACAAGGGCAAAGCTCAAGATCCCCTTCAAGGTGAGACAACTAACATTCCTGGGACTTGAGGAACTCACCTGAGTAGCTGTATGCATCGTTTTAGGAACGATGCATTGGGGTTTGAATCAGGTCAAATCCTGACGGTGCCAGGCATGGAGGAACAAGGAGCTGGAGATCAGCAGGGGGAGCACTGGTGCCTTTTAGGTAGTACCTGTGTGTTAGAAGAATTAGAAAAGAATCCACAGAGCAAGGGGAGTTCTGAAGCTAAAGTAAGATAGAAGACAGGTGTGTGGATTCAGGGCAGCAGCTGCTGGGCATGGTCTGAGTGTAATTGGAGCTGAATGGAATCACATGCTGCATGTGCACCGCAAGTCAGAACTGAAATCAAGGTAGTTCAGTTGTTGGCCTTCCCACAACAAACTCTGGCAATCGTTTTGTGAGTGTTGTTTGTTTTTTCTAGTGAGACTTGGGCCTCCACTCTGCCCCTCACAAACTTCCAGTTCCTAGAATTTTGGGGTGTGGGGGATTAAGAGTTTGGAATGGCCAAGTTTGCTCTTGCTGTTTCATTGAACACAGACATTTGCTGCTCCTCAAGCCATGTGCTTCTTTTACAGGAGGAGAAAGGACTTCGGGAGAAGTTATGGTCATTACAGACATGGCTGCAATCCATCCCAAGAACATTCCCGGGAGACAGGTTCCCCTTGCCCTTACAGAACTCATGAACTAGATGGCCAACACCCCCCCAGAGGTTTGTTTCTCTTGGGCTTTGGGTTATGTGTCTGCAACAGTTTCTAATGTGAGCCTTCATGTAGCCATAGAGGAAGCGGTTCAGTGTTCCCAGGACTGTATACCTGTGGTGAAAGGTTCCTGGCAGGGAAACTTTCTGCTAGAGATGTTTGAGGCTTTGGAAGGGAGCATCTGTTAGATTCCCTGGAGTAGGCACCCTGGACTTTAGTCCTCTTTCTTGCAGCTGTGAGTCTGACTTCCTGGCACGCATGTGGCACTCGCCAGGAACTGAGTCCCACACAACCACTGGACAAACAGTGCCCCCTTTCCGTGCGCGTGCCTTGCAGCCTTTGTTTGTGCTGCACAGGATGTGGAAGAAAGTTGCTGGGTGCACGACCAGAGTTCCATAACCATTTCCCAGACTTCTGCTCTGCTGGGCTCATTCTCTGAAATGGGGCTGAGCACAAGAGGAAGCTCACAGACTGAAGAGAGATGGATTCTGGGAAGGTTTGTCCCAGCACTATTCCCTGCTGAGGGAAATGTTTGCTCCCTCCTAGAGGTCAGGTAAGGACTGCTTTATTCAAGCAGGCTTTGGGGTGTAAGTGTGTCTGCTCAGCTGGATGCTGTTTTTACTCTGTTGTTGTGTTATTTGCCCATTTTTTTAAATCATTGATTGTAAGCCACCTTGAATGGCGTTTTGGGTAGAGGAATGCAAATCAAATAAAAAAAAAAAAGGATATGAGTGCAATATCACTCTCACTCATGTTCTCCGGTCAAGTGCTGTCGAGAAGCATTCGGCCTCTGATGCTGATCACCGTCAGGCCTAATAGCCACTGATACGCTTGCGTGCCATGAATTTCTCTAATCCCGTGGGAGCCAAAACCGCATCTTATGGAGTGAATTTTAACAGTTAAACTTTAAATAGTTCAACTATTCACTGTGTGAAGAGGTGCTTGACAGTGATGGGAGCACTGCAAAAATAAACCCAAAACTGACAGCAACCCCATTTGCTATTCTACTGGTGAAGGTTTGAAAACTTTCTGAATGAGTAAGATGCTGTGGACTTAAGGTTGCATGATGATAAGTTGCTCACCATATCTAGCCTGTTTGTTATTGCCTCATAGTTTTAATGTTTGTGTTATCTGGAGCATTTGGTAAAATCCATTTCTTTCTACCCCAGGTAGGAAGCATCCCGATTCACAATCCCCACCCCACCCCCAAAGCCACCTAACTTCTCCTGCTCTGTTCTGCAGAAAGAAGCAAAACCTATGAAGGTCCATACTCCTGCTCCCTAGAGAGCCCCACAGAGGTAAGAGGACATGGTTATCTTACCTGTTTAGACTGGTATAAGAGGACACAGTTCTCTTCCCTGCCTAGAGAGGTATGGCTTAAAGAGTGAATGTGTCTCTGATACACGTATCAGTGAAGGTGTTGCAGTTTTGGAGGGACTGAGGTGGATTCCAGCTCTTCTTGTTCTCCTAAATGAAATGGGTTCCTGTGCATGCACAGTACAAGTGTCAGTGTAATAGTTCATGTTAAATGCAGTCCAAACATAGTCAACCTTTTGCCACTGCACAAACCTGCTTCTGCTCTCCATCAGTGACAAGAGAACCTGGGCAGTGTTCCTTTCCAAAAGGTTAGCTACTTACTAAATACAAGTTTGCTGGAGAATTACTCCAAAATGTCCTTTTTGGATCCTGACACCACATCCCTTTTCTTCCCTTTGTTCCAGGCCTGTAAAACCAATGTACAAAAGGCAAAGAAGAAAATATCAATGCAGCCCAAGAGGTCTGAAAGGAAGCGAACAACTTCAGAGAAAGTAACAAAGTCCACCAAGGTAGGTGAGGAAGTGTGTGGATTTCTAGGGATTTCAGACATGTGGGCAAAGATTGAAACCCATTCATTCTCCACATTAGTTTCCACTGGTACTCTTAACCATAGCAGAGGTGTGGTTTTGTTTGTTACACTTTATCCCGATCTTCCTCCAAGGAGCTCAGGCTAGTGGACTCAGGCAGCTGTGAACCAGAGGATTCTGGTTCTGGTTGCCAGGGTGAATGCAGGCCTCAGCGTCCTGCAGCTGGTTGGCAGGGAATCCAGTTGTGGCAACAGGTATGTGCTATAGCTTGTCGTGCTTAGGAGCCTTGTGTGATGTTCTTGGCATACCTTAAGATCTGCTCTGTCAAAACCCAGTTTTTGGTTTCCTCTAGACCAGGGGTCGGCAACTTGTGGCTTTGGAGCTGCACATGGCTCTTGAATCCCTCTGCTGCGGCTCCGTCACCCAAAATACGCATCACAGCCGCCAATCTGCGACTGAGGCTCCGAGTTACGAAATACCAATAGGTGATGATGAGGCATCCACTCAGGAAAGCTGCGCTAGCAGGTTAACTAAATTGTGACATTGCAGGGAAAGAGTGGAACAAGCTTCCTGCAGGATCTCATGTTACACAAACCCTGCTGAAAAGATTCTCTTTGTCCAAATGTAATCTTCTTCCTTTGAATGATAAAAGCTGCGCTTGGGACCTGTCACAATTCACATCACTTGACTGTTTATGTGCTAATCAGTCACTAAACACACCTATATCTGCTACTTCCCCTGGTAGTAGCCAACCATGGATAAATCGAAGAAAAGTTTCTGAAGAAAACCAAACGTTTAATGATACGTGGGTGGATTCATTTGCTTTTACTACTGACGAACTTATGGGGTTTGCTGTTTAATGCATGCAGCCCTTTAGCACTGACTTTGACTCTTCAGGAAGCTGTTCACCTATTCAAAATAGATGAAAGGAGTCCTACTAGCTTATAATGTAAGATTAAAAATAACAGTTCTGAGTGACTGAACAAGAGCTGCCCCTAAATCATAATGAAGATATACATAGCATTAAGGTAAAAAACGATATATGCTGTGTTATCTTCATTTTAGATGTCAAAAGGGTTTTGCGGTTCCCGGTGTTTTCTTTTGTGTGGGAAACTGGTCCAAATGGCTCTTTGAGTGTTAAAGGTTGCCGACCACTGCTCTAGACTGAGAGCCAGTATGGCATATTGGCTAGAGTGCTAGACTGGGACTCAAGAAATTTGGGTTCAAGTCCCCACTTGGCCATGAAGCTCACTGGGTGACTTTGGAGCAGTCACCGACTCCCAGATTTTTCATTTCACAAGGTTGCTATGAGGATAAAATGGAGAGGATCAGGAGGATTATGTAAGCTGCTTTTGATTCCTTGTAGGAAAAACATTAAATGCAAAATATAACTAAATATTTGCAGATCAAGAAGAAAGCTAGATTGTCTCCTTGTGCTGTTAAAGGAACAATACCTTCAGAGACTACACAAAACTTACAACCTTTAAGAACAGAAGAGCCTGAAAAGGTAGGAAGTATTTATACTTGCAATTTTCTAATCCACACCTGAGACAGCAAGAGATTCTATTTCCTCTTGGTTCTTCTTTAAGTATTATAACATGCTGGTGTTTGTAAATACATCTTCTTTAAATATATTTACTTCCTTAAAGTATTATTGGCCTTAATATAATCAAATCTTATTTTTGGGACCCTTCCACTGGCTGTAGAAGAGGTCAAAGAGTACAAGTACTTGGCTTAATTTAAGTATCAATGTCTAATGCCCAGGTTGCAGTCATGACATCTGAAACCCCACACCCTCTCTTCCACTTGTCTGTGACCTCAGCAAGATTGTCCACAGCCTTGCCAGGATACTTAATCTGATTTTGTTTGCATTAGTAGTCTTGCTTATGCAACAGCAAAACTAATTTTGCCTAAGCTTATGCTTAGGCAAAATCAGAACTAATTAGTAATATTACTCTGGTCCTGTTTGGATCTAGTACTGGGAAAAACCTGCTGGGACCATGAGAGTGAATGAGAAAATGCTCTGAAACAGAGTTTGGTTCACAAGCAGCCAAAATTAAGCTAGACTAAAGGAGAACTGAACCTCCCTTGTCCTTGAAACTGTGGTGTGAAACAGACAGATTTATAATGCTTAATGGACACTAATCTGGTCATGAAGACCATCTCGGAGTGTTGAAAAGCAGTAAGGCTTCAGCAAATGGTCCGTGTGTGATTTCTGTTTCCCTGGGCCCAGAATCTTCCCCCATAAGGCTTGTGGAACTTGTGACCTTCCCTAGTTAAGAGGAAACAACAAATAAAATGTGAAATCTGAGTAGCTGTCATTTTAAAGTTTGCCAGCACCGTCAGGATGGAGCTGCCCAACCAGGTGGGCACAGAAAGACCAATTAAAAGGAGAGAAGTCTGGATTATTATCAGGAACAAAGCTGAATATGTAGAGGCAACACATTTTTCACCTTTCTTTCTTTGTGACTTCTTCGCTCTGTGCTGTGGTCCCATGTCCTCATGGAAAAAGACTTTGCTCTTTTTGGGCTTCTCTCTTCTCCATCTTTTCCCACAAAGCTTAGGTTTGGTTAGTTTTCCAGATGTGCTGACAAATCCTCTCTCGTCTGCTGAATCTTTTGGGTGCAGTCCAGTGGGTTGTGTCCTTCACAGCCATAAGCCCTGGAACTTGGGGGTTGCACGCGTCTGGGGTAGAACAGGATGAGCAGCAGAAGGGTTCTCGGCTTCCCCACATCTCCACTCTGTATCTCAGCTATGTGCCATCCAGCTGCAGTGGCCATTGGCTTGCGGGTGGGGCAGGGAAGACTGGAGCACCATCAGTGTATCTCACACACTGATGGTCGGTCTTCTCTCTGTGCCCCCAGATGCCCTTTACCCCCTTCTTTGGGGTCAATTTCCCAATCTCAGAAAGGCAGCTGGTGCAGGTGCAGAGAGGGGGATCAAAGCACAGATTCCCCACTCAGATGTTGGGACTCTGTTTCCAGCCTCATATCTGGGAATCTGAATTATCCCATACACAATTTCCTCATGATCTCTACTGCCCATAGGATCATTCTCCTCTGCTCTCTCTTGTTTTTTCCTGCCTAAAGTTCTTTAAGGTTTTTTTTTTACTTCTAGTGTTATCTCCTTCCCCCAGTTCAGTGCCCAGATGGAAAAAGCACTACACTTGCAGTGTGGTTAATTGAAATACTGGAGCCTGTTATGACTTGCTTCTGGTAAACATGCATAGAATTGAGCCCTAAGAGCCCTTCTTACTCTCCTCCCCTTCATCCTGATTGCGTCCTTTTGGCATTTATGCTTCCTTCTAAACCTCTGGAATTTATTACCGTTTTTTGTGGATTATTTTTCAACTTTCCCAAATGTTACAAAAGATTGGGAGATTTTTTCCCAATTTTTATTCATTGGCTTTTATCTATGGTTTGATAATTATGAAATCATTTGATTTTGATCCTGTAGAATTCTTGTTGTATTAAGATTAATGTGTAGCAGGGAAATACATTGGGTTAACGGATGGATATTTTACAGAAATTTAAGTAGAAATGTGAGTGACAGCTTTAGTCATTTTATGTGTTAGGGTGCAATCCTACACATAAAAGCCTCCAACTCCCAGTGTGCACTAACCAACAGTGTTGCCCAGGGCAAGCTGGGAGCTGTAGGACTATTTCCTTAGATTATGCCCTTAATAAAGATACACATCTTGCTTTTCCTCTGATGTACCACTTTTGTATACTTCATTTTTTTAATAATAATGTACTTTATTCCTGAGCTGCTGCATTTTCACTGGCTGTACACTGATTCCAGTACATCTATCAAATCCATTTTACTGGACATCTGATCCTGGGTTCTTTTTCTGATTGTACAATGCAGCTCACTAGAGGGCAAATAGAATTAGTTTATATGCTTTAGTCTGGGCCATATTCGCATTGGGAAATCTCTGTTGATGCAGATTGCAGCCAGCAAAGAGGCCATGGGCTCTCCTTACCATCCCAGTGCTGGAAAGAAAGACAGTTTTTTGGCCCTGTCATGGACTCCCGAGGAACGTTCTGCAGCTGTGCTGGCAAGAAAGGAAGAGATTGAGCAGGTGAGTTAAAAATGAAAGTCTTCCTTCCCTGGTAGCCTGTTTGTTTAAGAAGCAAATGAAACCCACCAACACGACAGTGATGAAAATGACACAGAAAGCTTGGTGAAGTGAAAAGGGGGCTTGCTTCTTTGCTTTGGAAGAACAAGCCACATTCTGAAGAAGGTGGGGAACACTGGCTTTTGGCCAGTTTATCTGCTTTTTTTATGGCTTCACAGGTTTAGAGACTGTGGGGGAGGCACAGCAGACCAAATGTTGCCAAACTGAATTCCCTTCTGTTCACAGAACATTATTATCTGCATAGCCTCCTCTGAGACTCTGAGAAGCTATTCTTGACTGAACAAACACCTACTTAAACCACACACTTTCTCCAAAGTTTTAGCTCTTTAGCTTCTGGGATCAGCAGGAAGCCTATTGACTCTTCAGAATTAGAAGTTGTTGTTGGGATAGCATTAATCTTCAGTGTCTGAATGGGTCACTTTTCCAGTTCTCTTTCCCCTTACATTTAACTGTACTGAAATGGAGCTTAGCATTCCAGCTAGAACATAGGCAGAGGTATTCCCTGTTGTTGTGTCTCATGCCAGAGAGAACTTTTGTCCTTTTCTGCAGGCCTATTTGCAGGTTCTCCTCAACTTTGCAGCAGTGGCCATCATGCTGGTAGAAAAAGAACCCTGCATGGAGAAGACTATGGAATCAGCACTGAGGGCCAACCTGAGGAAGATAGGAGACTACTATGAATGCCTGCTGAAGAACTACATTGACAGCTTAGCTGAAGCCAGCTGAGAGGAGACTTCACCGGAAGCTTCATTCACTGTAACGGAGTCTTGCTGTAGGACAAAATGAGAAGGGGAAGCTGCATGTTCTTTGGACTCAGTGACCAAGAGTGGCACTGGGCAAAGAGTCTTCTTAGCAGCAGGGATGAGAAGCATCAAGGGATACAAGTTTAGACTGCAGAGGCAATGGCTGGATGACTTGCAAGTTTTTGTTGCCTTGCTGCTGAAAATGGGGTAAGAAATGGAGCAAGGAAAGAAGAATTCCTTTTTTAAGGGGATTATTGGGAGAGGTGTTGACTCAAGTCAGGGAGTAATTGGGATTGGAGTGGCAGGCCAATTTTGGCATACTACTCTGATGTGGTTAAGTGTTTGAAAAGTTTTTGTTGAATCTTGCATTAATATTTTTAGCAGCATGGATAATTTTAGAGTTCAACTCTCCCCTGCATTGTGGATTTCCTCCTGCCATATGTGGAGAGAAAATAGAGGAATGGATCTCTACCCAGGGGAATTTTGGTGGTTCCATGTAAAAATCCTCATGAAACTCAACATTTCTTTCTTGAAAACCTTTAAAGAGATTTTTTTTAACAAATAATAAATTGATGGAGACCAGCATTATATCTTGTAGCTGCCTTTATTTGTCAGTCTGCCTTCCCTGTACTTGCACTTTTCAGACAACTGTGGATAAGATTGTATAATATTCTTTTAGCATCCTGTTTACCATGACAAGCATTCAAACAAGGAGATTAAGGCAGGGTTAATCTACCTTGATCTCTACATCTTTCTGCATATACATTAGTTGGAAGGTTGAGAAAGTATTAAGCAAGACTCTCAAGGGCTTTGTACATGTAAGCAGAACACGGAAGAAGACGTACAGGTGGAATGCTGGCTTTATTTCCCATTCTGTACCCTATAATGCTTTGCAATAATTTCTTGAACATTCATGCTGTAGAATGTCTGTTAACTGACAGCCACCCTACCCACAAGTTCTGCTGGTTGCTTGTTTCCCTTTCCGCATTGGGCCGCTATTCAAAAACAGCTGTGCCCACACAGGCCTCCTCTTTCACACCTCTGTGCTCACTGCACAGATGGTGGCTACAAAGGCCAGGTGGTGCTTGCCACTCCATCAGAAAACTGAAAAGATTTCATGTATAGCTGTGCTCATGTCCTTCAGCTGGATTTGTAGAGAACCTTGGCTCTGTTAAGGTGTGTTTACTCATTGAAATGGCAGGTGCTATGCTAGCCCCAAGCCCTGCGTACCCTGCCACCACCATTGATGTGTTGGGATGAACATCTGGTAAGGGGGTCTCTGCGGATGTGCAGGTCAGTGTGTAGATACCTGCAGTAGGGCAAGCAGGTACAGCATCACAACTCATGCACTGTTTCTGCACAGGTGTCAGAATGCCTGCATAGGCCTTTATCACGATCAGAGATGTTGCTGCAACAATAAACTGCTGCGTGAGGCCAGAAAGGCCTTGTGCTGGTTTCTTAGCACAAAGTGCTAGATTAGTGCTTGATGTGGAGAGGCTGTTTCCAACAAGCGTCAGCACACCAAGGATCTCTAACTGGTGGCTGTTCAGTGCAGAAGGGGCAACAATGCACCGCCTCATTGCACCTGTCACCTTCTAAATATTATCTGTGTTACTCTCCCTGTTCCCCAAGATCCTAATTGCTTCACATGCAAACAGGTTTTAATGGGCAGACTCTTGAGTTTAAATTATCTGTCCGACAGATTAATACAAGTATATACACCAGCAACTATGTTTAAGGATTATTAATTGTCAGAATTCTGCTTGCTTACAGTATCCGCTGGTAAACCTTGTTGTTGCTGCCAGTCCACAGTTGCCAGCAGGGTGCGTCAGAGAGCAACCAGTCACAAAAACAAGCTACAACCAACCCAAAAGGCCACTCTTACTGGAAGTGTTGACTCACAAAAGACTTGCAAGGTAAATCCTGAAGGAGTGACTTACAACTGACTCTGCCTCTCTGCTTTGCACACTTCACACAGATATAGTGGCTGCAGGCAGGTAGAGAAATGGGGTAGATTTAGCCCCTTCTCATTCAGATAAGAATAGGAGGAGTGAGCCTCTTAGCACAAAGGTTTTAGATTACTGTGAGGCTTTACCTTCCAGACTTGTTCTATCTGTTTCTTATTTATATCATCATCATCATCATCATCATCATCATCATCATCATCATCATCATCGAGCCTGTGACAAGGACATCAAGTTTGCCCCAAAAAACATAGTTTTAAAAGTAAGCTGTGTTCAGTGGAGGAGGAAGAGAAAGATGCTTCCAAAACCTCTGGAATTCACAACCTAACCAACAAGCGGAAAGGCAAACTTCGCATCATGGATGGTCCCAATTCTAATGACAGTTGTACCCACTTTCTCCTGAGTTACTTCAGCCCATACTTCCCTGGACTTCTGCTTTGCACTGATACGGAGCTGACTTTTCTTCTCCCCAAGCCTTGCTACGTAAGAAGTCTGCTTGAAATGCTGCTCTCACCTTCCCACCTGCCTGCTTCTGCCTGACTTCCTTCTGGTGCCTCAGAAGTCTCTCCCCACTAGGATACACTACAGTGTTTGCTGCTTGCCCTCGCTCTAGCTGCCCACCCCAGCCCTTTACCAAGAGTTTCCTGATCCATACTGGGGAGAGCTGTCGGTCTGTCCCCAGGCTTTGGGATTGGCTTCCCAAAGAAGAATCCCTCTGGCTCAGAATCCGAATCAGAAGAAGATGAACAAGTAGGGCACCAAGTATCATCTTGCTCCACCACAGCTTCCTGCTCACCAGTGTCGTCTTTCTGTGGTGTCTCTGGGAAGCCGCTGCTCAACACAGGCACGTGTGGCATGACCAAGAGACCACTTCTGAAGTGGTGGTCTCCAAGCCGTTGCTGAGAAGTCTGTGGGTGAGCGGCTCCTAAATGTTGGTCCTGCTTCACATCAGTGGGGCTCCAAGCTGCATCTGTGGGATGGGGGGCAGCCTTTCGCACTTCCTTTTGAGGAGAACAGGTCAGTGATGTGAATTCATCAAACTGTGGAGAGACTGTCTTGTTCCTGAAAACCGCTCCTGCTTTCTCCTGCTGATCAAGCTCCAAACACACTGAAGATTTTCCAGATGGGTGAAATCCTTTAATCGCTGGGGGGGAAAAGGAGCATGTAAGAGAGCATGGTGATTTCCCTGAATTCCCAAACCTGACTATGGAATCCAGCCTATGAAATATTTCTGCAGTGTCAACTCTTCACTAAGAAGAGTTCACTCTTCACTCAGTGTCAACTCTTCAAGTTCACTATCATCAGTGAACTTGCATGAACCAGGAATTTCCACAATTCTGCATCAAGATCAAAATTGCATGTTTTCTTTTGTAATTCATGCAATTACTGTTCATCTTATCTCACAAGCTACTGTCCAATCACCTGACAGCCAGCTGAGTGGGATGGTGTAACGTGGTTATGTCCCCTATGAAATACAGTGCCTTATGGTATTGGTGGTTTGTGTGTGGAAGGATGGCTAGATGGATATACCTGCACCTTTCTTAAGGGGGAAAACCAGATGAGCACATTCATGTTAAAGTGGTATTCACCTTTTTCTATTGTTAATTTGTACTGCTATGATAAGTTCTACATTCAATATGAGAACTGAGATACAGAAGACTGAGTTAATTTTTTACCTTCAGGGTATTTTACCATTATGCCATCATTGCACGTGGCCCAATCAGGGATCTCACTGCTGATTGCCCGCCCGCCCCCGGCACCCACCTTGCTTCTTTTGCAAGTTTTTGCCTCTTTATTGGCCCTTTTCGAGCGTATGAGAATTGATGAAAGCAAGGAAAGCCATCACCAGCAGCCCCCTTCAGTGCAGCGGCACATTTTGGGCCCATAGTGAGAAGGCAAACAAATGTGCAACGGTGGCAAGAAGGTGGACCTACTCGGGACGGGGACCCACTGAGGGCCTTATGTCCAAGGTATTCTGGAGCTGACACTGGATCAAGAGATACAATAACTTAATGCAGCGGCTCTTCAACTGGCTTAGATCGAAAGGTCTCTGTGCCTGTTTCCAAGTGCTAACCACAAAGGCTTTACCATCTGCATCTGCCACTTCCTCACAGGCTGTGCTGTTGGTTCTTGCAGCTTCAGAGGAGCAGCCTGCGTTACCATTCCTGGTTCTAGAGATGGGTGTGGAGTCAGGGGATGGAGCAGAGATAAAAGCAGAGTCAGAAGAGTCAGAGCCTGAGGAAGACAAAGCTGATTCCTTCTCCAAGCTGCAGGCCTCAGAACAGAACAAGAGGCCACTGCGAATGATAACCAGCTGGTCTAGCAGAGCTTTTTGGCAAAGGCTACAGCGGAAGCAGGAGGCTTTGGCATGCCAGTGCTGACCTTGCAGGGTGGCCTGCTCACTGTCGACACCTTTGAGAAGAGAACAAACCACACAAGAGTTTCACTTGATTGTGCAGTGTTCATGGGGAACGTTGCTGCCCTGGCACCCCCAGTTTAGAATGAGATATGCCTGAGTATGTTGCAGAATTTTAACAGAGCTAAAAGGAAAACTGGGGTTCAGAAGTGCTGAGTTAGAAAGCAGAAGATGACACAGGCTGAAACTTAATTTGGCCTCATCTATGTAGCCATTTCTCCCCATCACCTAAGCGTTTATACACATAAATACAAGAGCTTCTTGCATGGCACAAACTAAACCTTATGACCAGAATGCTTATTCAAGCCCCACAAATGAGCTATGCTGAATTTCTAGTATTAGTGAGACATGCTGATCTTTCTTCATCCCTTGCCTGTTAGTCTCCTTAGTTTACAAAATGAAGTGGAGTGGGGAAATGACATTATAAATACGTTTTATATGTTTATAAAATATAAAAGGGAATAACTCAGCTTTCCACCTCCTCTAATGAAAATGACTATGAGAAATAAAAAAGGCTTATTCATCTGTGATTTCATGCAGTCCTGTACATGCACCTGCACAAAGCTAACTTTGCTAGTTTTGCTGCCATGTAGAATTCATCCCTGCTCAACCCAGTATCCTCTAGATGTGCTGGACTACAAGTCTCATCATCTCCAACTTGTCCAAAATATCTTGGGAACACCAGGTTGGGAATGGCTGGTTGAAGTAATGGAACCATGGTGATGACCATTGGCTAGGACAGCCTATCCATGTCTGCTCAGAAGACAATTTAAATTCAGTGTGCTGATAAATGGATAAAGGCTGCAGCCAAAGTCTAGCAGGTGCTATTAGCCACAAGGTCTTAATTGTACTCTGTGTTTATAATGACCAGGTATCTTTGGGTAGCTAGACAATAAAGTATGATTTAGATAGCCCTCCCCTGGAAATAAACCACATATCCAGAAAAGTAATACACATCTGGCATTGCCAAATGATGGAGAAAAATGCTATTTCCATCATACTCTGGAAGGTTCCCTGTAGGGGAGAGAATACAATGCCGTAAAAGATGTTTTATTTTAGCCAACAAAGTACCTGTGCTTTTGTCTTGGCACCAGGCCATTTTGCATCATCTATGCAGATGTGCATAACTCCAGCTCCAGGACCACTTTCATGGGGAATATGAAATGAATGGTCTTGACAGTAATGGCAAATGGGGGTGAAGAGGAAAAGGAGCCTGGAGCTGCCAGCTGTTGAAGGCAGCATTTGTCAGTGGTAAAGTGGTTTGTGTATCTTCTGCAGCTACGGACATTTTCTGCAGAAGCTGATCCAATTACTGGCCACCAAACACATTTGTTTCTTAAAGTGCTCCCAGTGAGACTAGAGCAACACGATCTCCATGTCCCCTAAAAGAAGGTTGCCTCTAGCCCACTTGGAGCAGCCTGTAGGTGCAATTTTGGTGCACTTTTGCAGTTTGGAAGGGACACTGCACACTATGCTCTGCACGTGGAAAGTCCCAGATCTGAACCTTGGCATCAAACAGGGCTGGAAGGATCTCTGCCCAAGAACCTCTGCCTGTCCATGGAGGGAGCACTGCTGGCTGGATAGTCTGGGTCAGTCTAAGGCAGCTTCCTATGCGAGACCACAGTAGTACCTGAGACCTACCAATAATCTCTCCACAGGCTTGGCAGACATCTGCATAAAGGCTCTCAAAGCAAGCACAGCAGCAGGGCTGGCCACCCTTCATGACATACCGCTGGGCCCCCAGAGGCAAGTCACACTCGAGGCAGCAGAAGTGCTCTTCATGCCAGCGCAAGCCTTCTGCTTCCATGCACTCGGGGGTGAAGATTAGCTGCAGAGACAGAGAGGAGAGGGTGAAGGCCTGTCTGGCCACACATCAGATAGCAAGAGGGGAGCGTGCAGCATCCCGCACTGGTCCTACCCAGATTCTATCCTAATGCTATAATTTGCACAATCCTCTGCTGCATTGGTCCGATCGGATCAAGCTTTCTGCATCAAAGTGCACCATATTCAGCGCATAAATAAAACATACTTTCCCCTTGGGTGGGGGAATCTAAATTTGTCTTACCTGGCCAGATCATGTTTAGTGTGCATGTGTGATGAGTTATCACATAATTTTTGCAATTTTGCTTATCCTGCCCATGACAGGGCAGATTAAACACCAAAACCGTGTTGCCTGGCTACCAGAATTTTTTTTGACCCCCCTGTAAGGTTTTTAAGTTTTCACCAAATACTGACTATACATTTTCAAACTTAATCTTTGAAGCTATAAATATTAAAAGCTGTTTTAAATATAATTTATTATGGCAATGTATATTATAAGACTATAAACTCAAGACAGGTGTATACGTATCAGTGTATCTGCTGAAGTTGCTTTCTGTCTTTAAGAGGCTATAGTGAGCTAGTGAATTTCAACATGGTAAGTCTAGAAGTCAGCTTCTCAAATTGGCTCCCTTCAGACTGGGATGAAGGCCACTGAAGTCTAAAACATGGGGGGCACCAGGCTGGGGATACCTGCTGTTAGGCATCACTGTACAGGCAGTCCCTGAGTTACAAATGAGAAAGCAGAAATTCTCTGTCCCTGACAGAAATTAGTCTTTAGGCCTAATTTGTACACAAATCAGATCACATATAGTCGGCCCTCCACATTTCCGGAGGTTAGGAGCACAGGACTCCCATGAAAGTGGAAAAGCCATAAATATCTCTACCTCCCACCCCCTATTCAAACTCACCAGGGCCTCCTCTTTGCAGTAAGGAAACGCCAGAGAGATTTCCCTCTCTGGATGGGCAGGGCAGGAAGGCCTGCTTTGGAGGCCTCTCTCCCCCCTTATGCTTCTCCTCTCTCCACCGGAATAATGATTTTCCACTGTACTTTTAAAAGGTTAATGGGCTTTATTGCAGTTCGTTCATTAGTACGGGTTGTTCATAACCTAGATGCTCGTAAACTGGAGACTGCCTGTATGGTTCATAATCAATTTGATACTGCTACTCCTTTCCCTGCTCCTGAATATTTGGATGCCATGGGTCTATTAAAAGTAGACACGGCAGGAGATTGAAATTTCCAGTAGCTCCATCTCTGATAGAACCTCTGTCTCCCAGCCAAGCTCATCCACATGCTTCAAATACAACAGCGGTTTGAACTGACCCTTTCCACGATATTGTGTGCATCTAGGGATCTTGACCTTTGATACTTCAGAGGCAGGAAGTACAATCCCATTGTTACAGACAGGATTTATAAACAGATTACCACTCACTGAGTATAACAACTGAGGATTTCTACTTTTTAATGGTAGCTGTTTTGACCAGATAGATAATGGAAGAGCAAGTCCATCAATTGTTCTAGTAGGTTCAAGATTTGGAGAAAACCCAATAACGTGTACAAGCTGATTCCATTAGGAGAGCAGAAGCATCATTGTTGCACAAGAGCCATTAGATAGTGTATATCTACCTGATCACACGAAGCACAACGTGGGCGGAAAAATTCTGCATGATGGCGACCACAGTATATCTTTCCATGTCGATGGAAATAGATTAGGTCTACCAGGGGCTGGTGACAGGTGTGACAGATGAAACAGGCAGGATGCCAGTAATACTGCTCTCCCAGCTTAGGTGCAAGTACACCCTGCTCGCCACTGGTCATAGTCTTAGCACACTGCAAAAGAAGCAAATAGGATATCTTTAAGGTGCACAGTTACCTGCTCTTCTGAAAGTAAAACAGTAAGGCACTTTGGGATTGTAACTGTCCATACTCTCCTCATAATTGTATCATGCAGGCAGTGAAAACTTTAACAAGGAAATACGAGTTCTGCCACCAGCATAAGCTATGCAAAACGCACAACAGATTTCTCCTGTGGGAAAGGCTCTGTTGGGACAATGATGGAAAGCACCGACTCCCCAAATCTTAGATGTTACTGCAGCTGCTGTGCTTTTTTTTCTTTAGCTTGGTTTTCAGTGTCCATCGTTTAAGACACAGAAGTGCAGTTGGATTGACATTTTGGGAGCTGGAAGTACATTTTAAATCATGGTTTATTCTCCTGATTATTGTCAAAACGCAATGCAACTCCCCCTTTCCTGCTGAGCCAGATGGGGAAAATAAGGCTAGCAATTAGCAGTAGACCTCTTGTGAGTGCGGTCGTGAGAACACTGGTGTCCAGTATTAAGCCAAGACAGCTCACCTGTTTGCATGAGCCCCCTTCAGTGGTGGGGGGCACCAGGCATTTGACCCCCTGTCCCAGCGACTCTTGCCTCCGCTGTGCAGCAAATGTTCGCAGCTGTTCCCTCTCAGCTTCCCCAATAGATGGGCAATATCGCTCCTTGATTAAAAGCAAAATAATGGCTTTGAAACCCAACAGTGTTCAGATAAATATATTATCTATAGACACAGGAAAGAGACAGAAAACAAGCAACCAAAGCAGCATTGTAATTTTATATTTGTATTTTGTTTGCTGCCTTGGCTGGATGTGGCCCATACAGACAGCCTATAGATGTGAAAAAAGGCTGGACAGAAAGTGGCTAATGGACCAGTTCAGAAGAAAAGTAATCTGGAACTGCAAACAATGCTCAACTGCTCTTGCTTGGCTCTTCCTGTTTATGATTCTGGCTTGTTTGAAGAGGACTGACCCAGAGATGGCAGTTCTCCTTAACAGTAAGCAAACCGTGGAGCTGGTTTGTTCAGTTGCTCCTGCTGGCTGGAGGAGTCCTGTGGGAGCCAGGGAGCCACACGGTACCGGCACGCTTGTTCGCTCACGGCAAGCCAGAATTCTCAGCAGCAACATGCCAGTACAGCCGCAATTATATTAGCCAACTGTCCCTCTACACCGTTAATGACCACAACCAATCTGGATGCCGTGAGCAAGTGGCAACTCTTCCACAACTGCAATCCTGTATGTGTCTACTGAGAAGAAAGGACCTGCCGTATTCAGAAGACTTGAAGGGTAAGCATGTTTAAGGCTTCAGTCAAATGAGTTTTCTTCGATGCTTCAGAATGCTTTTGTCCGTCAAATGTAGCTCTGCATCAAGATTTCAAGAGGGACAATGCGTAACACTGCACTGCGGTACTTCTGCACAGAAAGTATGAAGGAGATGACCTGGCAGCCCATTGATGGAGGCTGTATATCAGGGGTCCTCAAACTTTTTAAACAGGGGGCCAGTTGAGCATGGGCCGGCAAGGCGGTGTGGGTGGGGGAGGGCGCGTGCATGCTCAGCGAGGCACCGGCTTGCGCACAAGGATTGTTTTCTTGGAGCGAGTCCAAAACTATCTCCTTGCGAGGAAGCCGCTGCTGGCCATGCACATTGTGAGGCCGAGGCTTGCTCACAAGGAGATCCTTTTCTCCAAGTGAGTCCAAAACGATCTCTGCATGAGCAAGCCCTCACCTTGCCATGCACGAGCGCATGGCATGTCCAAAATCTCTATGGTGGGCCAGATAAATGTGCATGGCGGGCTGGACCTGGCCCGCAGGCCATAGTTTGAGGACCCATGCTGTACATTTATTTATTTATTTATTTATTAAAACATTTTTATGCCGCCCCATTCGCCGAAGCCTAATGGTGAATAGTGTCATCACATAATGTAGCCAGTAGGAAGGACCAGGCTTAGTTGTAACCAGCTGGAGCCCAGAGTTCCTCAGGCTTGTTCTGCTCTTGATCGGGAAAGACAATGCGATTTTTATCTAGTTTCCTGACTGGTGTGTGGATTAAGCCTTCTCTGCCTATATTCACAGCAAATTTAATCTTTGGTAGTCCTAGTAAAGGTTATGAGAGCCACAAACCTGTCAAGCTGACTGAGAATTTCTGCTGGAGAATGATTGCTTATTACCCAGGAGGCCCAGAAGCATAGACAAAAGTGAACAGAGTCTCTACATTTCTGACTGCTAAATAATTGTGATCTGAGACCAATCAAATAATTAATTTCTCTTCTTTTTCTGCTGTTCTCCCATAGGACAAGGGCGAAGGTAGAGGAATCAGTGAACTAAGGCAACATATTCTTATCGGTTCAGTTATGAAACCCTGCATCCACACAGGCTCTTTCAGAACAGCTCTGAATAAGGACCATCAGGCTGCACACCCAGCTAAACCAGTGCACGGGCAGGGTTGCAAGGTTTGTTAGAACAAAAGAGGAGAGCCCAGCTGTATGTGACTCAGAAACAGGAGAGCCTGCCATGGCACACATGAGACAAGATGGTCTCAATGGAAGGTTCTGGAAACTTACATCGCAGTCTTGTGGGGGCAGCTGTTGGAGGAGAGTTTTGATGCGGAGCTGGTACTGAACAGCAGCAGGAACGGCATCGGAGCAGCGAGAGCCAAAGTCTGGCAACACCTGCAAAAGCAAACAAGACTGAGAAACTGAGCTGCCATTTCCCTAGGAGTCTGGGGAACAATGGTTGCCTGCACTGCACAAACTTGTTTCCCAGGGGAAGCAAGGAAGCCCTACAGAAAGAAATGTACTGTAGGAGAATTAATGAAAAGGAACTGGCAGCGCAAGGGGAAGAGAACTGACTTAGCATTCATCTGCCTCAGCATTCATCTGCATTAGCATCTATTTCCAACAGAAAAGCCTTAAAAAGGCTCTGTTCTTCAAAAGCTAAAATCCTGAAAAAGCCTCACTTTTCAAAAGCTTGCCCTGCACTGCTGTATATGTACTTGGTCAAGCAGTCAAGAGTTTCCTCTGCTGATTCTTCAAGCACTATTCTTTCCCTGGTGCATGAATTCTCTCTCCTCCCCAGTGCCTTGCAATTCCTTTTCCTTTTGTGTCGTGGTTTTTAGACTGTAATCCCATGGACAAGGTCTATCTCATTATCAGTCTTGGTAAGCTGTGCTGGGAGCTCTTTCGACTGCCGAGAGGGGTAGAATGCTGCAAATAAATAAATGGCAGAGGCAAGCCACAGGGGAATCGCCACCGTCACTGATGCAACAGATCAGGGTGGCTTTGGCTTCTAGAACAAGAAAGTGGCTAAAACTTCAACAAAGAGAAGGCCAGTTCCCGCAAATTAGAGATGCCAGGGCCTCCCAGAAACAGCTCCTGCAACTCTGAGACAGCCTTCCATAAACACATCTGAAAGCCAAGGAGAACCATGAGAACTAGGGCCTTGTTGCCTACCTCTGGTGGGGGAATTTCGGTGATTGGTCCTGGGTAATCTTCCAGGGCACATCCAGAATCACTGTCTGAAGATGATGCAGGCAATAGGGTGGCGAGAGTTCCACTGCATGGAGCCTTCTCTCTCTGGGACCAAGGAGAGCTTGGTTGGGACATCCGCAGAAAGAAGCTGCTGGAAAAGAGGCCGTGGTAAGAGCTGGATTTTCCCCCTCACAACTTATGAATTCCCACTTTGGAGTTCCAATATCTCTGTATGCCTCAGTCATTCATTTCTTCAATAGACAGCATCACTGAGGGTTGTCTGAACATGAATAACTTAATGGGATCTTATGCTACACAAGGCGGGGTAGGGGGACTTGTGGCCATTTACATGTTTTAGCCTGCAACTCTGCTTCAGCTAATGATGAGGGATCATGGGAGTTCTAGGCCATCACATCCAGAGGACCACATGTTGCCCACCCAGTAAGAGGCAGAGGGCAAAATAAACATAACACCCAACCAAAACTATTTCTATATTCAGAGGAACATTGGGCTTCTTTCCAGAAGTGATGAAGAGACCTTCCAAAACCCAGAAGCAGCAGCATGTTCCTTTGCTCACTTCCTCAGTGAGTGTCCTTGTCCAGGTAAAACCATTAAGCGTAGCATATACTAGCAGCTATTTCAAATGCCAAGTCCAACAACTTCTGTTCTAGCTTCCACACAGGGGATGTAGGTTCTCAGTCCTCCTAAATTCTCATCCCAAATACACTGTACACAATAGACATGGGTGCACTGCAGTTACTGACCTCTGCAAAACTTGGGAGTTTTTTCCCCCCAAAACTTGGGGAAGAACCAGAATGATTTAGCTGAACAGCCAGGCAGGGTGTTCTAATAATATTCAGGAGCAGCATGTTCAAAGCCCACCTGCCAATTTGAACTTGCTCATTTGAACCTCAACCCCCCGCCCTGATCCAAGCTTCGGCACCTGTGCAGGTGCTCTCACTGTGTTTAAGCTCCGCATGGAAGGGTGGGGAATAGCAGCCATCAGGCCAGAATGACCGCCTTCTCTGCCAGCAGTCCCATCACACTGCACACGTGGAGGACGATGGCACGCACAGAAATCACGCAGGCCCTCCGCATGAGTCAGAAACCTGATTTTCCAGGGACCTATTCTGTGAAGTGAGCCTACATAGCAGAGCACTTCACACATGCAGTTCACCAGCCACATGTAATGAGTGACAGGAATTATGCTGGAGAAGATGCATGGCACATGCACTGGCCCCTATTTGTTACATGCGTCAAAAGCCTGAATATGGCTGTTCCCTACCAGAACGTGCTTGTGAACTGAATACAGAAATCTACTTAGAACCCAAGTGTATATTGCTGGCCATCTCAATTTATTACAGGGGAAAGCGTGGATGCAGACCTCCTCTGCTGCAAATAATGCAACCGCATTTGGAGAAATCACAAGGATCAACACACCCAAGCGCCGTGGCCTTTCTCTGGGAAAACCACCATCATGATTATGGTGGCTCTCCTGCTAGGTAAGTCCATCTAGAATTCTCATTCTATGCAGATCACTTGATGGGTTTATTTCCAGATACATTTATCCTGCTTTCCATAGCACCATGTTTCTGAGGTGGGCAGGGCAGGGCAGGGGAGGGCAAGGCAAGCATCACTGGTGAGCCCTACCAGGGCACCCGTGTCTGTCCAGAGATGCTGCATCTTGATGCGAGGGCTGCTGCCTTTCCAGTTTTTCAAAATGCTCTGTGCAGGTTGTAGAGAGAGGGCCCAAGTCACAGCCTCCCCAGATTCAGAGGAGGAGGTCAAGGGGCAGAGGTGACTTTGCAGTTCCAAGGTTATCAAGTGAAGATACTCAGATGGAGCATGAGAACCAGCAGGCCTTGCAAAAGCGAGGAGATACTGCAGAACAGGCAGGGATGGAGATTGAGGGGGAGCTCTTGATCCTGTAAGGAGATGGCAGGAGAAGTGAGCGGACCAGTTAAGAAGTGCCCAGTGTTCCCATAGCCTAGCCTTCAAGCAGGAGCAGCCATGGTAAGGGGGGAGCCAAGACCTTCCTGAAAGGGAGGCAAGAGGGGGATGTTCCAATTTGGACTAAACCCTTCACCTGGGCAGATGCTGTGCCCACATCTCATAGAGACCGTTGCTTTGATTGATGCAGTTTGTGACCTTGTTGTTCAGTTGCAAAGTCATGCCCAACTCTTCGCGACCCCATGGACAACATTCCTCCAGGTTCTCCTGTCCTCCACCATCCCCTGGAGTCCACCCAAGCCCACACCCACCTTTCCAGTGACCCCATCCAGCCACCTCAACCTCTGCCATCCCCTTCTTCTTTTCTCTTCAACTGATCCCAGCATCAGGGTCTTTTCCAATGAGTCAAGGACTGTGCATCTAAGTCTGCTGGAGAGGGAAAGGGTTGTCCTCAGAAAGCGGTGGGATAAACTTCACTGCTTGCAAAATTCAGGCAGAGGAGGCAGTAACTCTGTCAGGTTGCACTCATATGCAATGTATCTGCATGCCACATTTTCCACAATATGCTGTGCTCGAACCAGTTCACAAAAACAAATAAGTGCAATAGCTGGCTGAGTAGTACTCAAGTAAAGTTCATTTAAACACATCAAATTTTGAGTAAGTGGAAGCCATACCAACAGGTTAGTTAACAATAGCCAGTACTATATCCAGTATCAACATTATATTCATATTAAACAAATGTTCATGTTAAGAGACCCAACAATGAGATCCTTCGCTCACATCAAGCTCACAACAAAAAAGGAGAAGAAAGCAAAACCTCCACAAGGCACATCCAGCGGCCCACCCAGAAGAAGCAGAAAGAGACACTCCTCTCACCAGGTCCCAGGTCCTGAGCCAAGAAACGGCACCTTCATCTGCAGCTCCCCTCACCTGGTAGGCTATGGCAGGTACAAACTGCCTCCAGGTGCTCAAACATGCACGCATTTGTGAACTGGAAGAGACTGGATTCTCTTTTTTATGTTTCCTTTAAGGCCATCAGTGTCACATAAGACCAACAGATATATGTATAGGCATGGCTGCTAATGTAAACATTTCATAAGCTACTAACATTTGTGGCCTTATTTACAAAGCCATGATACTAATCATTTAGTTAACAGTTCTTCCCCTGAATAGGCCTCACTAAAGAGAAAGACTTCTCTTCCTATCCTTCATCAAACACATGTGCTAAAACTCAAGGGAGAAGAAATGGGTTTTCAAAAGGAGGCAAAACATGAAGGAACAAACACTTTCCCAATAACAGGAACTCTCTGGGTTTAGCAATGAGAGCTATCCACTCAGCTAATGACCTGGCAGGTCAGACCTGCTCAGGAGAAAGAGATATATTTGCATGCAAGGTTAAATAATGGGGATGCTCAGTAAGGAAAGAATGGATGAAAAGAGGATGTTTGACAGCCAAACAGACTTCAGGAAAGAATTGAATGGGAACTGGATTTCTATTATCCTTGGAATTTGACTCCTTAGCTAGCTCCAAATGAACTAAAGGTCCGTGCACTGTATACTCTTGACTACTAGCGGCTCTCTAAGCTGAGATCTTTTCCTGCTCTGATACTCAAGACAGCCATCTGGTCTCTTACAAGTGCAAAACATGCTTTACTGCTGAGTTATGTCCCCTCCTAATGCTGTCATTGACTCACATCAGCATTTATCCTGAAGGATAAAACCAGTGTTAAGAAAAGGAATGTGCATATTGTTACAGAACTGGAGGATGCGCCCAGTGATCTTCCAAGGTCCCTTTCAGCTTGGAAGTTCCTGATTCTAAGAGTTGGCCAATTGGCTAGGCAAACTGAGAATATACATTTGATCATTAGATAAAACAAGATGATAAGTTACCACAGGAACTAATTCGGGTACGACCTCTGTTCTCATGACTGAGTGCCACTTTGTCAGCAGAAGCCTGTCAACTTTGGAAGGGCCGGAGGGCATGGAGGAAGCACATAAGGCCAGAACCCCATGCTTCCACACCCTGCTCACCCCGTGCATTCATCCTGCTTGCCTTCCTAGCAGTGCTCTCTGGTCTACTAGTGCTTATCTATGGTTTCATTATGGATGAAGAAGCCAACCTGGTATGCCTAATCAAGACCTTGGAGCTTGAACAGTGAGTTAGCCTCTCCCTACTTTGCTGTACTTGGTGTAGCACTGCAAGAGTCTTGAAGCCTAAGGAATGAGGATTAGGATCATTGAAAGGTGCCTTATACTGAGTCAGGCCATTGGTATAGTTGGCATGGACTCTCAGCAGCTCTCCAGGTTCTTAGGCAGGAGTTTCTCCATCTCTCCCAGAAGATACTAAGCACTGGACATGGGGCCATCCGCATACAAAGCATGTGCTCTGCCACTAAACTATGGCCCTTTTCTTGGATTGTTGTTGTTTAAAGGGATTCCATCTCCCACTCTAGACTCTCTGTTTTGCATCTGAGTGTTTATAGCTTCTGTTGGGCTGCTGCCCACCCTGCTGCCTAAACTGATGAAGATGGTCTCAAACTGGTGAGAACCAGCAGGACAATTGTCCCAGCAGATTTCTACATATATGTCAGAGTCATTCATTATGCATGCCAAGGCCACTGATCCAGGACTTCATGGCTGCTATAGCAACCATGGGAGTACGCCAATATGTTATTGGCCCAACGTAAGTGGCAGGGCACTTTCTAGATGTGGTTTTCTTGGCTGAGCAGAAGGAATCTTAACATCCAACCCTAAGTCATGGTCTGATTCTTCCTTGCTGAGATGTAGATTTTTCATTACCTTTTCCCTCTGCAACACTGGGTAACCCATTCAAAGGGCCCAGCCTTGGAGACTCATGGATTCCAAAGGGCTGTGCAGGATTTTCCTGCTTGCTCGTATGTCTGGCACTTCTGTCAAGGCCTAGTTCAACCAGTGGAATGGAAATGTTCTAGCAGCTGACTTGGTCATGCTTAAAACTGCAGGGCTTTTTTTGTCATAGAACGCACCGGAACGGTGTTCCGGCACCGTTTTTTCCAATGGATTTTATGAAGTGATTTAGAGCGCACCGGAACGGTGTTCTGGCACCATTTTTTCCAACGGATTTTACGAAGTGATTTTGAACGGGGTAGCAGATCAGCAGCAAAAATCATTAACATAGTGCCTGCAGGCTGCCTTTGTGTCTGCTATCTGCTATCCAAC